TCAGGAATGTTTTTCTTTCCTCGGAAAGAACATTTTCTTATTTAAAAAAATTCTTTTTAACGGTTGCGGAACACCCTGTATATGTATACCTGGCCTGCTGCAACGTGCGGCTTATGCGGGACTTTGTGCATCGCACGTCGCCAATACAGTGGTATGTGGTGCGGTGTGCAGCTTGCCAGCCAGCCGGTATACAACACCGGGTACACAGCCGAAAATTTCCTTTGTTCCTATTGTTCGTAGGATTTTCATGGTGACGCTCACGGGTCTATGCTTCCGAGAAAATTTTTGGATTTCGCCGGCTCCTCTTGTATCTTTTTTCTTGCTATCTCACTCCTTTTTTTTCTCCACTCGTTTCCTCTCTTTCGCGCACGTGCTTTCCGCAGGCACCCTCTCGCCATCATGTCAGCGGGCAGTCCTTTGTCTCTCCGTGTATAGTGTGTTCCTGATTTTCTGTGCGAAAATTTGAATGGATCCAGAGAGAACTTTTCCTTAACTATAATGATGCTTCTCGATACATTTTTAGAAGTTTCGAGGATTAAAACTCTGGATCAGAAATGTATATATGTTACTCTTTCTTTCAATCTTGAGAAGAGAATTATATTTTCTTTGTACATATATTTCTACAGTAGTCTCCTATATTTGAAAATATTTGAATCGATTTAAGAGAATAAACAGAAGTAGAATTGTTCGATATATCAAGGTCAATCTTTTTCAAGATTATCTTGTCTTTCTCAAAATTGAAAACAAGCTCAAGACAAGATTTTTAATCAGTTGTCAAGATTATATCAAACTAAGATTGTCAAGATTATTGATTTAAAAAAAAAGTTAAAATATCTGTTCAAATTAGATGAAAAAAAATCATATTATACAAACTTAAAAAGTTTTATGTAATAAATAAAAATATTCATATTAAGAAATTTAGATATAATTATATATAATGAACAAAATAAACAATATTGTACAGATTACGTTAAATATTATTTTAAATAATTGTTCAATATTAGATAAAAATTATTAATAAAATCGAGACAAGACAATACAAGACGAGATCTTTATTACGAAAATTTATTCAAGACCAAGACATGATTTAAGTTTATGAAAATATTCAATATACGATATTTTCATGAATATTGGCTTGAATTTTGAATTTTCGTCTTCAGGACAGTTTAGAGATATTTCTTTTTTTGAATAATTGAAACTTGTCAAATATCTAATAGAAAAGTTTGTGTGTGTGTGTTTTCTGAAAATAAAAATCATTAATCACAAAGTACTTAGAAAAAACAAATTATCTTTTTAAAAACCGATTTCGAAAGTTATTAAAAGAAAATTCCTAATCTTTTTTACAATATTATACAGAAAATTATGCTGACTTATATAAGTTAAAAGATCATAAATATTCCTATATAAAATTATCACCAATTTTCAAACATATCATTATTAAGTGTAAATTTTTTAAATTTCCTTCAACAGATTCTCTTCTTATCTTTCTTTTATTTTCCATAATACGTTTATATACTTATTTATTATGTACAATTTATTTCCTTTTACTAGTATATGATACAATAATGAATTAAACCAATAATGAATTTGCAATAAGTTTCTTCGTGATATTTTTCCCAAAAAAAGATTACTCTCGTAAATTGGGGTTTTACAATTCTAGATACGAGAGATGAATATTTTCGAACACCCTATAGCATGCCTGTTTTTGTTGGATTATATTGACCGAACGGAGCCCATCAATAATCGACGACGAGCGTGTCTCCGGAATTTGCGTGCCCTGAGAGTTTTCCGTTTCTTTTGCAGGAAAGCTGCTGGTATGATATTATACACAGCTGTTTTTTGCACTTTTTACACCATGGAGATTCGAAAAGCCTGTTTCTCTTTTTTATCTATCCATCTATTCGTTCTAACTGTATATACATTGACAAATTTACATAATACAGAATAAAGTGAGATGCAAGAATAAAAAAAAATACGAATGTTGTCGAATACATGTTTATATTTCGAATTTCGTTGCAAAATTCGAAGATATGTATATTTAAAAGATTATTCGTCTTCTTTTATGTAATTAGCCTTGGGATGATTTATTTATCGTATATATTGACAAAACTAACAATGAATATTATAACTGCATTTTTGGACATCTTTTTGACTTATGAAATTTCTTTTTCTTTTTTATTTCTTCCTGTAACTAATGATTTCCTCTCGGTCTTAAACTTTCTTTTTTTTTCAATTTCTATAGAATTTTTAAAAGTTACCGTAACCGATACTATTGTCAAGTTTTAGTTTTCGGACTCCCTTGGCAATAAACCATTATTATGGGTGAGTCGGTACTATTTTATACAAGGTTATTTTACAAAAGGTTCGCATCTTCTAAAAATATCTCTAAGGAATTATATAAAAAATATAAAACTATGAAAATGTTTATCTCAAGTCGACGTTATTAAAGAATAGTAAAGTAAAACCGTCCCATGTGCTCGAAATAAAAAACGACATCGAACGATATCGAGAAAACGCAGGAAAAGCATGGGGTGAGTGAAGCTTGTTCAATGTCAACACCTGCTCAATGTCATCGGCGCGTGCCCCTTTTCGTTCGCAGGCTCAACTATATGCAGTAATCATGAAGCTTATATTTTTAAGAATATTTTTTAAACCAAGGGACGAAATTAAGTATATCGAGTATATTTTAAGTACAAAATATAAATTTCACGTGAAATTTCCATTAAAATTTAGACACGAAAAAATACTATGTGAAATAAATTGCGTAATATAACATTAATTATTATCCAAAAAAAAATTACACGTGACAGGTACTATTGTTACTTCGTGACTTTTCACAGCGAATTATTAATAAACGATGAAACTTGTATCGAATAATCACAGTTACATCGAAAAACCTACAATTCCGACCCTTATCGCTTTATGTTATTCGAAAATCTCGAGGGGCAACGGCAAGATGGCCAGGGTACCACCGTCAATGCACCGTATGGACCTTTGCACGGTAGGCAGGAGCCTACAGATGGCAAGCGCCCGATCCCTTGCTTAAATTTTGACCGCGGGTACCAACGACGCCGCGCTGCTCCTCGTGCCGTGCCATGCCACCTGCTCGACACGTAGAGAGGCCAGGCCTATTCGTTAAACGTCACGATTTCCTACAGAATGAAGCGCAGAATTTCGATGATAAATCGCATCTAATCAATTATATTTAATTCAAAGTATGGTTCGAAAATTCTACAAATTTTCTCCATTCGCGTTTCCCCTTTCTTGTCTCTTTATTCAATTAATTTTATTTTATTATCACGTGCGAGAGGGATATTCACATTTAAAATATTATATTTGCGCGATCGATCGAAATAATCGGCTATTATCTTAATTTTGCAGATATATATGGACTTAATTTATTTAATTTATTTAAGATAATATAATATTTAATTATATATATGTCCATACAGCATAGAATATTGCAGTAATATTGCGGCAATATTGCAATACTGCTGCAATGTTAATAATATTTCTGCAATATTCTGTGTTGCATGGGTGATAATAATTATACAGGGTGTGGAAAGGTCTGGAAAGGTAAGGTCAATCGAATAGGAGGTGAAAGAGGAGCATGAGTAGAACACATAATGTAAATAAATTTTTTTCGTGTTCGCTATGGTTTAGAAAATACAACGCTTTATAGGGATGCATAAAAAGTGTTGAAACACCTTAATATTTCGAAAAGTCATATTAATTTTTCTGTGTAATGCTACACTTAAAACCCTACAATTTTCGTATAAAACATTTTTCTCGAAAATGCGTACTTTTCGAAATGTTAAGGGATTTCAACATTTTTTATGCACCCCTATAAAGCGCTGTATTTTCTAAACCATAGCGAATACGAAAAAAATTTATTTACATTATGTGTTCTACTCATGCTCCTCTTTCACCTCCAATTCGATTGATCTTACTTTTCCAGACACCCTGTATAATACAAAAATTACATAATGTAATACAAAGAGACGGATTATCGATGATAAGCACGTTATCGCTCGGGATTTATCCGTCTTCTCGAAGACGGTTCCCCTTTTTCGTCGCGGCGGAATCCTTTTATTTTTTCTAAAGAGAACCGCATTCTCCGATCAATCGCACGCGGACCGTTTCTCACGCTTCGATTTTTTCCCTTCCGCCGCGTCGCGTAACTCGTATTTCCACGTGCATATGCAACGCGCGGTGAGAGAGATAGAGAAAGAGAGAGAATCTTGCAGGAGACGTGCATCGTGGTCAAAGAGCGACGGAGGACAGGGAAAATAGCGTCCAGAGTATTGAATTGCAGCATCGTGTATTAGAAACGATCGCTCGCGCGACCAGGCGATGTTACAGTTCGGGACGAGTTTTGAAAAAGCTTTGTTCGCGTCTCGAGAGCGAGGAGGAAGTAGGTCTGTCCGCGCGCGCGCGCGCGCGAGATGCCCACGTGCGTATGTGTGCCCACGTGTGTGTGTGTGTGTGTGAGTGAGCGAAGCGTTGGCGCGCTACCGGAAGTCGAAACGCACATAATGCTCCTGCTGGGTGCGCCCGTTCGACGGCTATTTTTCGCTTCACTGGCAAATATAAAACAATATAACGATCTCGGATTTTAGCGAAGCGGCGTCGACTCGCTCCGTTAAAAAAAAATCACCTTTTCCGCCGAGATTTTCACCCTAAATGAGCCCCCTTTCCTCGTCACAGATTTTTTTTTTAATACCTGTGAATGGTGAAAATTCCAGGAAGATCCAGAAAAATACCATGGCGTGTTCTTTCGACGATGCGATGCGGTTCTCCCGCACTTTTGCAGATCGATATATAATTGGAATTTTTTTCATTTCACCCAATCGTTGAGATTGAATTAAGAGACATCGGACGGATGGAAAAACATGAATAATACTTATCGACGTTAGATATAGACGTTACCTACTTTACTCACCGTAGTTACGCAAGATTCCTGATCCAATGTTATCAACAGATTTGCAGGACGTTTAAATGTATATAACGTACATGTGTCTAACGGGATGCTGATGTTGTGCAATTGATTAGAGCCTTTCTCTTTTGGGCGACACGAATCTGTGTTGCCAATCTCGTGTCGCGATGACAGGACCAGAAAGCGTTATTTTCTCGCGTCCCATGTTCCATATAGGGCAAGATTCATACTTGAGAAACGTCAAATTACAATGTTTGTTAAATATGTAGTCAACAACAAGTGTGCCACTCAAGTTCGCGAGAGCATCTGTCATCATTTCGCAAATTACAGCATAATCTACTTCCTGAGACCTTCGGGAAATCCTAGATAAATTTGCGTAACAGTTTGTCATCGAAACTCGTTTCTATTCAGACACGAACGATTCATAAATCTTTAAAAAAATCGTTTTTTATATACATGAAATTTATATACAATTTATAAAATAAATATATATACAATATATTGAATATTAACAAATATGAATGAAACCAAAAATAATATAGTGCGAGTGGTGTTTCTATCTTTGTTGCTGGACCTCCTAGCATTTACAATGATACTACCACTGTTACCAGCTCTGTTGGATCATTACAAAGATATAGAAAATGGACATGGATTATATTCTACTATTTTTAACTATATAAAGAGCATACAAGTATTTTTTGATGCGCCAGATAAAGTCAGTACAGTTCTGTATGGAGGTTGGTAACACAAGAAATTTTTATTCAAAAGCAATCTGTAAAGTAATATATGTTTATTTAAAAATCATATTTTTTTGTGAGATATTAAATATGATGTAAAATACCAATTTTATTACAGGTTTTCTAGGCTCTATGTATTCCTTCTTGCAATTTCTTGGATCGCCGATCATAGGAGCACTATCTGACATTTATGGACGAAAACCTCTAATGCTTTTATGTCTCACAGGCATTTCACTATCATATCTATTGTGGGCATTTTCCACAAATTTTGGTATATTTGTATTGGCAAGATTCGTAGGTGGTATCAGTAAAGGAAACATCAGTCTATCCATGGCTATTATCAGTGATGTTACTTCTCCAAAAACAAGAGGAAAGGCAATGGTAAAAAACAATAAATAAATATAAAATTAATACCATTTACTTAAATTATTTTCTTTTGCTTTTTGCAGGCGCTTGTGGGAATAGCTTTTTCCATAGGTTTTGTAGTGGGACCAATGATAGGAGCATTTTTTGCTTGGATCTCGAGTGGTAATAGGGAAGGCACATGGTATGTGATACCGGCCTTATTCGCATTTTTCCTGGCTTTAAGTGACTTATTTTTCGTTGCTTATTATCTCGAAGAGAGTCTACAATTAAAACATAGAGCAACCACTTTGGGAAAAGGATTATCTGGGGCAATTTCATACATTAATCCTATTGATCTCTTTGAATTTAATGGAGTGTCCAGCTTGAGTCAACAAGGTATATATTTCTGGTATAAAAAACAACTTATACCATATGTATCCTTGTACATATTTCATAGCAGAGCACAATAATGTTATTAATATTTTTATAACATTTATCAATTGATTTGTAACATTTATATATTTGTCGCATCTCAATTATACAAATAGTATAAGAATTCTAAGCTTTAATAATTATTGTTACTAGTTAAATAATTATTAATAATTATTTAATTATTATTAATATTATTTAGAATAATTGTATAATTTTCAGATCAGCAAGATTTGAAAATATTGGGTCGAACATATTTTATATATCTGTTTATCTATAGTGGCTTAGAATTCACTCTGACATTCTTGACCCATCATACATTTGGATTTACAAGCATGGAACAGGGCTGGATGTTTCTTGGAATTGGATTGATCATGGCAATCTTACAAGGTGGTTGGGTGCGACATATCCCCCCAAACAGAACGAAAGCCATCAGTGAACTGGTAGAAAACTCTAATTTATACAATCATTTCTGTAAATTTTTCATTTTTAAATATTACAAATAATATTTTTTTATTATAAATTGTTTTTGTTATTTTAGGGTTTGTGGCTAATAATTCCTGCATTTATATGTATCGGTATCGCTACTGGTGTACCGATTTTGTGTGTCGGGATTTTTCTTTTTGCAGTTTGTGAGCATTATGTTTATTTATTTATCTATTTATTTGTCTGTATCACACAAGTTACTCGAATTTATTATTAATTTATCGCTAAGCACGCGATACGCAATAATACATCTCACAATAATTATTATTTTACTATTTTTATTTCAGCTACTGCCATGGTTGTTACTTGTATGATGACTCTAGTAACGCGTATTGGACCTGAACATCAAAAAGGTGTAATTACTGGTACATTTCGCTCTCTCGGTGCGTTAGCTCGTGCTTGCGGACCTATCGTTGCATCTTCAGGTATAGAAATTCGCGCGAAAATGTTTCTATTTCATCGATTTCGTTTTCTCGAATGCATTTAAGTTTCTATTGCAGCATTTTGGTGTATTGGAAGTACCTTGACCTATCTAATCGGCGCTCTATTTCTCATATTACCGCCGCTCATTTTGCATGGCATGCATACTCTATAATATTTGACGAAATCAAATAGAATTTCATCATGTCTTTTTATCTTAAATAATTCCTATTTGACCGACAGTATTTTTATTATATATTATTGCCTCTGCTGCCTTTTAAAGATAATATATAGTAGCTACATAGTAATACAATAGTAGCTACATAGTAGCTATAATAGTAATATATAAATTATAATTATACTATTATTAATTAATTAATGGACATCACACTCTTAGTGGATATTACATTTATATTTTTTCATTTTGAATGAAAAATAGATATTTATATATATTTACACATATATGATTTTATATGTAAAGTTATAAAAAAAGTTTTTATAAAATTATTATATACAAATATATTTCATACATAACTTGTTATTATATATGTATTATATAAATGTTACATTCGATTTAATTTTCAAGATCTATTTATTGTAATTATACTTTTTACATCTTCCGGAACCTGAAAGCTAAATTAGACTGATATTTACACGAATTGCGCAGAAGAGCGGAATCCCACCGTCGTGATTTATCAATGAATGATACGTCGATAATCTTGTCCTTACCTGGAATTAATTCACCGTGCGCGCGCTGATAGTCGATTTATCTCATTGTCAGAATGTGCTCCGTTCAACGCTACGGAAGTTTCGAAGCGTTTAATTGACCAGTTAGAATGGAAGGGGTAGAGAGTCTTTTTTTTCGCACTAATGAGCCAATCGAACGCTTCGCGACTCCGATTGCGCGTCAAGCGTAAACGCAGCCCTCGGTTTCTGCGCAGAAAGGAGTAGGAAGAAGCGAAGAGAAACAGAGACAGCGGCCGAGAGGAACTGACCTGTCGTCGCTGTTTATCGATAAATCACGTCCGCGTGCCAAGTGCGCATGTTCCCGTAGATCACGTGGTCAACCCACTCCTCGATTACCCCTCCACCGGCGCCATTTACGGTAGTAGGATTCCGGGAATTTGTCGGCTCCGTTCATTTTGTCATCACCCACGTCGCCTGTCGGGCGCAGCGCTTCGCGAGCGTGAAAAACGATTGGAGAACGAGAACTGACATCGGAGATTGGAGAACGACGTCGTGGTAAGGACAACTTGTAGGAGAAGGGACGTGTTTCCGAGCACCTTATTGATGGATGCGGATGAATGCGGGCGCGAAAGTGACCGCCTCCCCTAATTACCAAGTTGCTTCGTGATTACTTGGGGGTTAACCGACGTCATTGCCTAAGCGAGTTCATTTCGTCGAAAGCAGCAGGACGAGTACCAGGAAGAGAGGAGACATCAGGCGGCGACTACGACGACGGAGGCGGAAGACATCGACCTGCGGTAGTGGCGGCAGTGGCGAACACGCAATTGCGTGTTACCTCTCCGCCGGAGATTATTACGAAATCGAAGCGAGAAGGTGAGCGGATAAAGTCCGTCAACTTCTAGAATAATTGGCGATAGTCATCGCCAGCTCCTCGCTCGCTCCGTCTCTTCTCCATCTTCCTTTTTTATTTCCTCCCTCCTTCCCTTCTCGCTTCTGCTGCTTCCGCTCCGTTCCCTCTTATCTATCTGCGTTTTACGCGATTTTTTTCCCTTCCCCTTTAGGAAAGAGCGAGTTTACGCACGCGACATGCCCGATTGCCGCGAATTTTCACGAGCCCCGAGCGATTCTGCCCGAATCTCGAATCCCGCATCGCGTGAAATGCGCGCGTCAAAGTTTTGCGCATCTCCGAGCGCTCCTCTCGGAGCAGATATTCTCGTACGCAGCAAGCATCTATCGCGAACTTCGCGCGCCGACGTGCCTCCATCCCGATGAACATGAGACGAATGATAAATCACGTTTAGATTCCCGAGTCTTTTCTTCGTTTCTTTCTTTTTTCCGTTCTTTTTTTACTTTTTTTTTCTCAGTATTTCGCTTGCAATTTTGCTCGAGGATGAATAAAAATGCTATTCGTTTTTCATTGGAGTCAAACAATTGTACTTATACATATTTTCTTTCTTTTTCAAAATAGTGAGCCAAATTTTACACTGAACTGCAACTTTTCAATTTGATGCTAACATAAATTAATTACAGTTTGGACAGTGTTTGTTTAAAGCTTTCTTAGTATTACATTTATTATTACATTTTATCTTGTATAACTTTCAAACACTAAATGACAAGACTATATTTGTGTATATAACAAAAATAAATTACTTAATTGATGTAACATAATAGTTATTCTTTTTAAACACAGATTAATATTACTATAAAGTATGTCGTTGTGGGCGAGAGCACAACAATTGCCGGAAGATTTACTTGAAGAAATACGTGCTGTGTATGCAGAGAATACATTTCCAATTGAAGTACGGCATTATTTGTCAGTATGGATAGAAGAAAAATTATTGTAAGTATAGACTATAAACATTAAATTTATATACAGAGGATGTATTCCTTAGAAAACCTGAGAAATATATTTGAAACGCATAACTTTTGTTTAATTTTTTGATTACTTACAATATAACAGCAAAATGACCAGAGAATTTTTTTATATTTTCTAAATTCTAATCAAATTCCATAAATATTCCTTGATTTATCCAAGTACAAGACAACAGCTGAGAATTTCCATATTTTTTTGGAATATAGATAAAATACAAAAGATAAATAAATATATATATATATATATATATATATATATATATATATACAAATGATTTCTAAAATAAAATAAACATGCATATTCAATATTTTATTGTTTAAATATTGGCTATATATATAGAGCTAGCCAATATTTAAACAATAAAATATTGAATATGCATGTTTATTTTACAGAAATCATTTTTAAATACACTTGGAAATTCAGCACTTTGAAACTGATCTACTCTCCCTCATTTCATTCCCACTTTGAAACTTGTTACCCTTTTCCACCTGTTTTCCTTCTATCTTTTCTTTAGAGATATTTAGGTAGTAGTCCTTTTATATTCTTGTACTACATTTGTTATCTCATCTTTGTCAACCTTCCTATCTTTTATATTTCTCTCTTTTTATACACACACATATCCATCTGTATTATCGTGTATTGCAGCCTTCTTTTCTTCGTATCATTTCTTATTTACACCTGCCAAACAGTAAATTGACATATTACACTGATATATACAATTTATATATTAATTTATACTATATACATATATATTATATACTATATACTATATTAATATATTTATATTTGTATGTAACTGTATACTATGTATATATGTATGTATACATGATATATATATTAAAATATCTTAAATATCTTACATATTGATATTACTACAACTTTCAATTTTAATAAAAAAATGAATTATTCTATTTAGTTTGTATTGTACACATATACATACATTTTAATATTTAATTTTAACATTTATTTATCTTTATAAAATTTTTAATTTTATTTTTTAAATTAATGTAGTAATTATATTTTAGGAATATTGTAGAATCGAATATACATAATGAACAGTATATATCTGATCTAATTGGAGCTCTGATTCAAGAATTAGAAACAAAAGCAAATAATATACAAAGCGGAGAAATGTTTTTGACAAAATTAAAGTTGATGGAGGCTGCTAAACTATTTCGTGTAAGTTATATATATCTTTTTTTATATCATCTTGTGTTACATTTTGTAATTTAACCAAATCGAGATGCTCTTAAATGATTATACTTATATTACAGCAAAAATATGGCGAAGATCCAATGAGGCTGTTTCATACAATTAGATATTGCTTAGGAGCAGAGATGAAACTTGTAGCACAAGTTGAAAATTTAGGTAATACATTCATGACTAATGATAAGATGAGTATAATAAACAATTCAGGCACAGAAATAAAACAACAGTTTGGAATTTTGCGGCAAAATGTGAATGCGAATGCGAACTTTATACGAATGATTGAAGAACAGCAAGAAGCTTTTGCTCTCCTTTATCATGACTGCACAAAGGTGACCGTTAATTTGCAACAACTTCTTTCACAGAATCATCAAAATTTAGAATCAGAGAAAAAACAACTCAAAAGGTAAGATAATCCAGTTACTCTGTCAAAAGATTTTGCAAAGTATTTGTTATAAATTTTATTATTACTTTTATTAGATACACTTGCCCGCGAAAAAAACGGGCTACTAAATTTTAGCACAATTTCTTAATATCTTTCAAATTTGGTTTTTTTTTTTGGTTTTTAAGAGGAATGTTCAAGCTTTGAACTTTATTTCATCTCAATACAATGATTTTTTTACTATTGAAAGATGTTAAAAAATTATATTAAAATTTAGTGGCCTGTTTTTTTTTGCGGGTGAATGTAGATATATTATTTAAATTACAGACAAAAAGAACATGGAGAACAATCATTGAATAATAAAATAGCTTATATATTCAACTTACGTGTGGAATCTGTTGATAAGATGAAAGATACAATTCATAGGTTGAGTATGTTACAATCAAGAATCCTCGATGAGGAACTTATCAGGTAAAATGTTAACACGTACAAAATATATATGTTTATATATATTTATTTTGTCAAATTTTGATATGATTTTAATATTTCTCTCAGTTGGAAGAGAGATCAACAGTTAGCGGGCAATGGAGCAACTTTTACCAGTAATTTGGACCTCATTCAGAACTGGTGCGAGAATCTTGCTGATATAATCTGGACAACTCGACAACACATCAAAGACGGGGAACGTTTGAAGAGCAAGTTCCAACCATTCGAACCACAGACGATGCTACAGAATATTTTTCCAACTTTAAACTCTCAAATTACACAATTACTCAGTTCGTTAGTCACGAGTACTTTTATCATTGAGAAACAACCGCCGCAAGTCATGAAGACCAATACTCGTTTCACAAGCACAGTTCGCCTTCTTGTTGGTACCAAATTGAATGTTCATATGACACCGCCGCAAGTAAAAGCAAGTATAATCAGCGAATTGCAAGCGAATGCTTTGCTGAAAAACGATAAAATGAAAAACGGCGACGCCAGCGGCGAGATTTTAAATAACACTGGTTCGATGGAATATCATCAGGTTTGTGAGAATATTTAATATTAAATTTATATTATAAATTTGATGTTATATATACAGGGCGTCTGTGCTATTATCCGCCAAAAAAAAACCATAAGTAGATTTCATTAAACCAAACTAAAAAGTAATATCATTTTGAAAATCACCACGTAAAATTTCGAGATATTAATTAAAGAAGATCGGCCAATAAGCACGTGGCGAGAAAAGCCGTCCCACTGTAACTTGATACAAGGCTGCATGCTCAACGCTTTGCACGCTCATAAGCATCATTCTGTCTTTATTGCACATTGAATATCAAACAAAGATAAAGCGATGGTTTCAGCGCTAAAAGCGTCAAAACGAACGCAGCCTAAGCGCGCGGCGAAGCAGTAGGCGGGGCTTACTCATCAACGCAATGCTGAAGTGCTGTACGCCGCCATCATGTTTTGGAGAGTGCCCCACCCGCCGCTTATACTTGCACGGATTGGTCGATCTTCTTTAATTAATATCTCGAAATTTTACGTGATGGTTTTCAAAATAGTATATGACTTTTTGGTTCGGTTTAACAAGATCTATTTATGGTTTTTTTTGGCGAATAATAGCATGCTCTAGATATGTGGAAAACCTGGAATTTTCACGAATTTTTTTTAGGAAAATCAGGGAATTTCATAGAATTCTTATAGAATTTTATTAGAGAATTTAAAAAAAATGAAATATCTGAAAACTATTCAATTCAATGAAAACTATTCAATTTTTTTACGGTATATTTGCAGAAATGCAAAACACTTAAAGCTTAAATGGCTCTGTGTTTTTCTTTTATATAAATAAAAAAATATTAGAAAACACATACAATAAAAAGTTTTACTTTAATAGATTTTAATAGATTAAATAATTGCATAACAAAATCTTCAGAATATTCTCTTTATCTAGAATTTTAAATAAAAACACTTGGAAGACTAGGAAATTTTTTTACAAGATATAAGTAGACATCTTGAATAATATAAAGCAACTACTTAATTCGTTAGTCATGTAATTAAAAATATTACATTTTTGTAATGCTATTTTGTATAGACAGCTGGACAACTTTCGGTGAGCTTTCGCAACATGCAGTTGAAGAAGATTAAGCGAGCTGAAAAAAAAGGCACAGAATCTGTAATGGATGAGAAATTCTCGTTGTTATTTCAATCGCAATTTACTATTGGCGGCGGCGAATTAGTATTTCAAGTTTGGACGCTGAGTCTGCCCGTAGTTGTAATTGTACATGGAAATCAAGAACCGCATGCTTGGGCCACAGTTACTTGGGACAATGCTTTCTCTGAAGCAGGTAGAGTGCCGTTTCTCGTACCCGACAAAGTACAATGGCGACAAGTTGCAGAAGCTCTAGACATGAAGTTTCGCTCGGCTACCGGTCGCGCTTTGACCCCGGAGCATCTTAAATTTCTTGCGGAAAAGGCATTTCGCGGTACTGTACCGCAAGATTACTCGAATACACTACTGAGCTGGGCTCAGTTTTGTAAGGAACCATTGCCCGAGAGAAGCTTTACTTTTTGGGAATGGTTCTATGCTATCATGAAGTTGACCAGGGAACATTTAAAAAATCCATGGATAGACGGATGTATTCTTGGATTCATTCGGAAGAAACAAGCGGAAGAAATACTAGCTGATTATGAATCGGGCACTTTTTTGATGCGATTTTCCGATTCTGAACTCGGTGGTATTACTATCGCATGGGTTGGAGGTAAAATATCGAAACAAAAATCAAAGTATTATATTATATGTGATCTTTATATTGAGATGTCATATCATTAATTTCTTATATCTTAATGTTTTTCCAGATAATAAAGAAATTTTTATGCTGCAGCCATTTACGGGCAAAGATTTCGCTATTCGTAGCTTGGCGGATCGCCTTTTCGATCTACATCACTTGAAATATCTCTATCCAACTCTTAATAAAATAGAGGTTTTTAACAAATACACTACTCCAGTTAGTGGTAAGGATCGAATTTTGAATGAACTAATTAATATAATCTATTATTGAGTGAGTCAATCAGTAATAATTAATTGATTTTCTTAGAGCAAACATCGACGAACCCTAATGGATACATCAAGCCGCAATTAGTAACACAAGTGCCAGCTTTGAGCGCGCTCGGTTTCGGTGGACAAACGCCGTCTCATTCCTCCATAGCGAGCGTAAATAACAACATCCAAACTAGACCAAGTGAAAGCTATCCTGCCACCCCGCAAACCATGTTTCAAACGCACAGCCCCGATCCTTCTGTAAGGGACACCGCCTCTGTAGCATCAAGGTCAGTCCCTTGGATGATATCCAATCGACAATCTTGATTAAATCTTTCAAATTGACTCATATTGATAATCTAATACTAAGACGTGTAGATGTCTAGATATGCTCGTTGAAGTGCATTCATATCTCATTATTTTTTTGAAAAAAAAAACGAATCTCAGATTATATAACATGTTCGATAAATCAAATAAAAGTATAGCAGATTTTTTATTAATCATATAATTTTCGAGAAAAATCATTTTTCTTTAGTTTTCTTTATTCGGATAATAGAAAAGATATTCTATATTTTTTCTTGCATTTCTTTTTGATGTTTGTGGTACGATTTTTCGGATGCTGTGCATTACTTGTATTTTGTGAATTATAATTTAAGATAGAAAAATTTGAATCGCAGCTCCAAAAATGTGTAGTATAATTAAATTTATATTGTTTGTTAAATTTTGTTTATAAATTATTTTTATTTTGACAAAAATTTTGAAAAATTTATTTTTTGTTTTATTTTATTTTATTAAGGTGCATTTTATATGTGTATCAGAATATGCAAAATACGAATGTGACTATTGAATGTTCTATCGAATATAAGTATTGAGGACAAAGATGTATATGAACTTATTTAAAAACACAATTACTAAATTCAAAAAGAATAAGAATTATAAACATTCCTTATAACTAGCTCACACTTTGCATATTTCTGGATCTCCTACTATGAATAAAAATCATCAGTATTATTTCTTTTTTTTTTCATAAAGATTTTTTTACATAAAGCTTTGTAGAGAAATGTAATGACGACTACGAGCATGCAGATAATTTTTGTAGACATTTTTATGATATATTTAGTTTCATAATTCAGCTACGACAGAAGAAATCAATATGCATCAAAATATACAATATTAATTGATTTTGTGAATGATACTGTATATGTATATTGAACGATACTGGATTATTCCTTGCTAGTCTTATCAGAAGAACGCAAGTAAATTCAAAAAATAACTTATCAAAATACGTGTGAATATATGGATGGTCCGGTCATTCATGACAATCATGTTAAAAAATTTTGCTAATATTCATCTTTTTCCCTTTTGATAATTTTCGTGATATTTTCCTACGATATATATGTGTACATTTATTGTTCCAGTATTTTTATCCAATAATCACAGTAATTGGACCAACTATCTATAAATTTAGTATTAAAGGGCATTATATTAAATCAATGGTACACATAAAAATGCAGCAAGCCGTAAACAGTAAATAAATCGTTGAATCAAGCAATTAAAATCAATTTGCTTATTGTTTATGCGTTAATGCTACGTTTTTGCATGTGCCATAACGTGACTTTATATTAAATTAAATATTAATTTATCAAACTGATGCTGTCGTAGTATTTGATCGTAAAAAAGAGTATACATATATATATATTCTCTATAATATTACAAATAAGTGCCTTTATATACAATTATATTTTAACTTTAGATATTGTTAGCGATTAATGCATTAAGTTTTATAATTGGTATTAAAAGTTCGATCTCTGTTTTTTACTCGAATTTTTATTGTTTATTTTTTGACATTAATATATGTACATATTAGTATCAAATAACTATAATATCTATATTGTACAAGCAAATAGAATTATAACAGAAAATTCAATTTTCTAAATAAATTTATTATATAAAAAAATAAAATGTGGGGCCCTAATAAATAATATAAGAGCAAAAAAAAACTGGCTAAAAAAGTTAAGTATAGAAAAATCAGATTGTGAATAATAATCTTTAACAAATTTCTTTAACTATTCAGATATAAATGTTTTAATTCCTTTTTAAATTATCTTTCGTAATTATTAATAAAATAATATATCTCATACAGAGAGGAAAAACATTACAAACTTGAAAATTGAATATGATATACACATGTGATATACATAGTATATTACAAATCGCGTATGCTTTGACTTTTAAACAATCTCAATAATTTTAATAAAAAGGAACACATCGTAAGTCTTTCATTGATTCCAGTATCGCTAAATACAATACTTTATAATCAAAACAGTACGTCATCTCTCTATGTATCAACATCTATCTATATATGTATGATTTGTGTAGAGCTGTATCATGTCAAAGGTTATTAGAACATCTTTGACGATTATATTCTTTATCTTTTTCCTTCTGTCTTGATTTTGTTATATATCATCTTCTCGTTCCTATTGTCTTTCTCTATTTTCTTTACAAGCATATTTCTTTAGCATTATTATACATAATGATATTTTTGCAATGATTTATTGTTGCGACCATAAAGTGTTGTATCTAATGACTGGATAAAAAAACTTGCCACGTTTATATTTTCTATCAAAATCTTTGAGATTGTTTGGACGTAAGAATATACGATTTTGAACATATTACACATGTATTCAATTTTTAATTTTTATAATGTTTGTCCGGATGATATTCATTTATTTAATTACTAAAGATAATCCGAAAAGAGATCGAAACGCTTATCTAAATAATTAAAGAAGAGATAATTTATTTCAAGATAATGATTCACACTCTTTATCCAAGATAATGATTCGCACTCTGTTTTCTGCGTTTGATTCTCATTAATCTCTTTGATTCTCATTTTTTCCTTAAATTTATCTTTATAAAGATAGATAGTTATTTTTTGCGGATTGCAATCGATTTCTTTTCTATTCTAATATTCCTCTAGATCTCTTTTTATTATAAATTAGCGGTTTTCTTCTAACGACATTTTTTTTCATTTGTATATCATTAATAAAAGTAGTGTCTGAGAGAGTGTTTTAAAATAGAGGAAATGCTCAGTTTTGGTATGACGTATCACGTATGTATGTACATAGAATAGAAAAAGTCGATTATATTTCTCTATTGTTATACGAGACATCTCAATCTTAACAATTTTTATGATACAATTATATATCTCAATTGTGAATCAATCAAAAATATCATTAATGCGTAATTAATTTTTCGACTGCCAAGTATTTTTCTATGACTCATTTTTCGAATACAACAGCTTATTATAGCTTAATATATAATATATAGCTTTTGTATTACGAATTTTTGCGTATTATTAACTCATAGTTGTGTATATAGAGTGTACGAGTGTAAACGTTCGTATGTTGAAAAAAATGCACATTTATCACGAATGGGATAAGTGAATATCAATCTTAGTATAACAATTGTGTCCGAGAAAGCCGGAGCGAGCCGCTACAACACTAATGAAAAAATTTGATACTATCCTGCGAAATACAGCTCCAATCACTCGCAGCTGGCAATTGAGTAAAGTCGTTATTTGCAAACTCATCGAAATATACATGTATCGTCATTTTGTTGCCTTGTGTTATGCACAAGTCGCAAGGAATTTAGGAAAAAAACAAACCACTCGCACGACTTCCTCTTTTGCTTTTCTCGAGAATATGACCGATATCTATTAACTATTTCGGCTCGGACGGGACTCTTATGATTCGTATTCCCCTTTTTGCCGTGTTGTACCGGCTATACCGGCTGTAATCGGTCATCTTTTTGAAAAAAAAAATATTAGATAAATGCACACGCACTTCTCTCAAAAAAAAGAAGAAAAGAAATATGAAAGAGAGAAAGAGATTTTTAAGTTTGTGATAATTTATTATCAGCGAATTGCCAGTGATTGGGGATGTGTTTTGATCTGTGATAGTTATGCTCCGGGTCTCGGCCAATCAAACATCGGACAAAGCTCGGACTTGGACTTGGAACTGATGCAGCCAATTGATGATAATCTTAACCAATCAATCTTGGACCCGTTGAATAGCTTCAACTTTGACTTCATATCGTACAACGCTAATAAGCTGCAGTAAGAGGTATGCGAAATATATCTTTATCGTTTGGCAAAGATCCGACGAATGATGATTATCATAAAGCGCAATTTTTATCTTTCTTCGATCTCTGTTTACGTCTGTTGTTTTACACAAACAAATGATTTATATGAAAATTGATGCAACAGTAATATATATATCATTGTTGTATCAATTTTCGTGCATCAGTGATGCGCGAATTATTTAACACAAGGAGGGAATTAATGTTGTAATCCTAAAGTGAAATATGTTAACTAATTATTTTTTTCTCTTTTTTTTATAATGAAATTCATCACATACATACATATAATTAAGAAAGAAATGACTTTCTTGTATGTTTAGAAAATTATAAAAAACAAAGAATTATTATTAGAACCTCGCTATTCTTAATCATCTTTATTCTGAATTTCATCTCATTTTGAATCATTTGGAATTTTTCTTTTGTTCTATTCTCCCGCTATTCGTCATCTAATCATGCTTAGAGTGAGAAAGCTAGCGAAAGACTCAGAACGATGGTATTTTCGTTCTGCAATGTGCCATTAGAGTGGGAGAATTGAGGGAAGATTCCAAAATAAAAGAAGAATTCGATCATTCCAGAATTAGAAGCGTGTTCTACGCATATCTATATTTATATATAGTGAGAGACTCTTGATTGTAAATACGATTCTTAATTCTATTGTAAGTAAACGATTCGATTTTTGACTGTGAGTGATTCTAAAGCTTCAGCCGATTATTTAGTTTATTTAAACGTTTAAGTTTTGATGCTAAAAATGAGCAATTATTGAAGATTAAATAAGCCCGGTGTCTTATTAATAAAAAAATGGCTGAACAATATGTATTTACAATCGGGAATCACTATACATTTATATAAAATAGTAATATATATTTGTTGATCATGCACATAAATAAATCGTGCATAAGTGTAATAAGGTTTTGAGGGTCTCTGCACAAAACATGCTAATAGCATGACTGTATGAAAATATCTTCTTACGTTTATTTTTTCACAATATTTTATTGGAACAGAAATTCTGTGTGAATTCTTTTCTTTGTAAATACAACTTTCTGATTCGAAAAGCAGGGGACTCTTCTTCAATGTTCGGTCAAATGCTTCTTTTCCTAATCTTTTATTTCTTATATATATATATTGAATTTATACTAGTGAGAAAGCGACCAAAAATTACTTATTTGTGTTCGCACTACAGTTGATGTTTTGATGATATTTTATCGAATCTTGTTTTCTCTTAAGTTTTTCATGTCACCTCCAACATTTATCATTTAACGATCGTTTAACTCTAATTTAAATTCTTGTAGGATATAAAGAAATCCACGTACAAAGATTGTTATTATCTACGATATACGAAGCGTTAAGAGGGCTTGTGTAATTATAAATATAATTGCACACTTATATGTAAGAATAGCGATTTAATTAATGTCTAGACATTGTATGGCATATACATATATATAAATTTATGTACATATAAGAATTATTTTTATTAAATGCTTACATCGTTTTGTAGAAAAAAAATGTTATCGGATAATCTATCAAATGTACTCATTTTTTCTTTTCTTTTTTTTTTTTTAATAATAATTCATACGATGTTTGATAGTCGCAAATTGATTTTTTTAGAGACGTCTTTAGAGAAGAAAAACAAAGTTATTATCATCTTCAAATTTAAATATATTTAAGAATTAGATATATATATAGAAGCTAGATATTCACCGAAGAGATTTTGAGAGTACAAGAGATGTTATTAAAGAAATAGACAATCATCTTCATATACATGATGGTATGGTCAAGTTACAATTGAATGTGTGTTTTGGATTTGAAAAGGATATCGAATGAAAACAAAAATTTTCATTCAATTAAAAATCTTTGATTTGTGATTGTATTCTACTTGAGTTTTGGAAAGATCAGGTCAAATCGTGAAGACTACATTGTAATAATGTACAATTTGATACGATCTTTTAAGTGCCTTATATAGTTCTTTAAACCTTGTATTCTTAAATTTTTCGGCAAATGTTAGCCACAGGTTTAAGAAGATAAGTTTTAACATTTTTTTAATTAGTTTTTATTTTGTATCTTAAGCATTATCATGCAATATTAGGTTATTATATATACATATGTATGATTTTATCGAGAAGACGATTCTTCGCGAAGATTCATATCCGTTATTTAGCGAATAATCTAATTTTTAGAGAGAAAAGAGAGAGAATGTATAAAGAATAAGGAGATGTATACAGAACAGATTCAACACACGTATACATATATATTTTAAGCTTAAAGTTAACTTACTATAGTCTATTTTCTTCCCTATACACACATACACATAGACATATATATATATATATACATATACATATATATATATATATATATATATATATATATATACATATCTTATATATTTTATCAACAGAAAATTTGTCAATTATTATATATGTATTCATAATGTAAAACATGAATCCGTCGTGTAAATAGGAATACACATACAACGTCGTCCTTATATTATTATATGTGTACGAAAATGTGTATTTCGAATAGATATAGACATCATCATCTATTGATCTTTTTATCAAAGATTAGAGTTTATTTTATTATCGAGAATGATTAAGCGAGAAATAACTATTATATTACTAGTATGCACATCTCCTTGTTTACTACATTGCTACATAAATTTGACATAACATGCATGTGTACGCAATAAAATACATTGTAAATCAAATAATGGCTATTTATTGCTGAGTACTTATTGTTGAAATAAAATTACGCACCATATGATTCTTGAAGAGGAAAATATAAACCCGTTTAATCTTACTTTTTATTCATCTCTGATATTAACTCATTAAAATTTTTTTAACATATGTAAAGAATTTCATAATTAATACTAATTGAAATAACTATCTATGTTTCTTTTCGGAAACCCTTAATATATTCAGAGAACATACGTGGATTTTTTTTTTTAGAAAATTTATATAAAGAAATTTAATGAATCTTTCGTTTTATTCTCTCTAAAATAATTTTACTTATCTAATATATAAAGTCTTCAAAACAGATCGTTAATGAATTAAAGCGACGTATAATATCAACAAGTATATATTGCATCTAATTCAAGAGTGTTTAAGATGTTGCTGTTGCTGGAATAGATGCAGAGGTGTCATCTTGCTCGTCAATTGGACACAAGCACTCTACGCACGTATCGTTTTCGATATAACGACCTGGTGCGGGATAACTCATGTGATAGACTGTATCACTGGTCATGGGATGTTCGGGTGGCCGATATTTACTCTTCTGGGCCCACGGCAGTTCTTCTTTAGATTTCGACGTCCATGGTTGATACGATAATTTATTTATCGTTTCAGAGTCTATTTTAATTTCCGGTCTGCGAACAAAATAAAAATATATTGCAGGATCGATGCGACAATTCGCAGAATAGGCTAAATAGGTAAAACATTTATTTAAGTTAGACCAGATGAAAAGATTTCTTCTTTCGAGAGGAAAAAGATTCTTCTCGTCTTTTCTAAAAGTCTCCTTTTTTATATCATAGACAGATAGATTTTTTTATACTAGTCGTTTATAGTCATACTTGATTTAACACGCTTCGTGTCTATTCTTATGTATATCTTCACGCTTTTTCTTACCTACGATATTGCATAATTGCGGGCTTGTAACTGCAAACAGGTTTTATTGCGTCGAGCTTTACATAAGACAACCCGGTGGTCGTGTTTCCCTCAAATGGTACGTCGACGATGCGAATATTGTCGCTTGGAATGACAAGATCCGGACGCGACGTCATTTTTGCTATATATTCGCAACGAGTTGTTGTCTCCGATTGCATTCTACCAGCTGCTATACCTTTAGAACGTGACGGCACAAACGGCTTCCGTCTCTCGGCATGGACTTGTTGATAGCTTAGCTGCAAGGTGACATGACTCATTAGAGAATAAAAATCACGCTAGAATAAAAACTATTATTTGTTTTTATCCAAGCATAATGAGAGAACTCACCTTGTTGGTCGTATCGATAGACATCTTTACGTCAGGAATAGAGATACTGCTGCAGGGAATAAACGGTTCCACACGCTTTGCATCACCCGGCAAATAGCTCTCCTTGTAGATCGTTTTATTCGCGAATTCGGCGCCGTAAGGAAATATATATGTCGCTGTAGGAAGAAAAGGTTTTTCCATCGAAACCATATCATTCTCCATATAACTCTCGGAATAAGTGGTTTTACCGCACATTGCAATATCCGGGGATCTTAAAAATATAAATATGTTAATTTTGTTTTTTATATTATATAAGTAGATACACATATAATAAAAAGAAAGAGAGAACAAAATAAGCGTACAGACAAGGAAAATATATTTTTATATAATATTATATTATAATATTATATTTATATAGAATTTAATTTTTATTTTATACATTCTCAAGAATTATGTTAATTATATTATAAATAAAGTTAGAGTTATGTTAATTATATTATATATATAAATAAAGTTATAAATTTGAAGCAATATTTTTTAAAACACAAATAAACGTTATGTAGAATAATTTTTATTGTTTAAATTGAAAGCAGTATTTTAATTTATTATTATATATATCATCAGTATCACAAAATATATATAATATTCAGATTTATGTGCAGTACATACTTATATGTACGTTTCTCTATCCAGGGATAGGGTTCCTTTTTATCAACAATAAAAGGTTGATAACTTAATTTCTGCGTTGTCTCACTAAGTAGCGGCTGGCTCGAGGGACGATATTTTATTATCGGCTTGAAATTAATTGCTGGTTCTACAGGGCCAGGAGAAATATATGATAATCTCATCATCGTTTTGTCATCTAAGGGCGCTGAACTTGTGCGGATACTTCCGCAAGGTATAATCATCTCTGGTTTTTCGACATGTTTCGGCGTATAATCGCGACGAACCGTTGTTACGGTTTCCATTACACCCCGAACTGTCGTTCTAACAATAAGTAAAAAAATAATAAATGATGAATATAATTTGTAAAGTTAAAAGTTGGAATATAATTTGCAAAGTTATAAAAACTTAATTAGTTATATAAATCAATAATTAATAATTATTAATAATTTTTCTTTAATAACTTACCTTGAAATAATATAATCTCTTTTTATTTAAAATACTGACTTCAATTTAGATAATAAAAATTATGAAAGTTAATATTAATTTCTATGATAGCAAAATAAAACTGAAGTATTTTAATACATGATACTACTCATATCTATACTCCGCAAGATATAATCATCTCCGGCTTCTCAACATGTTTTGGCATATACTTTGTTTTTATCTTTATATTAGAATTAATAATTTGACTAATTAATAACTAATTATGAATAATTATCATTAATTATATAATTAATAATTATGTGTCATTATTTTTATTTTTATATTAGAATTTATAATAATTTATTATTATTAATTATTATGGATTATATTATAGATTATAGAGACTATAGATTCATATAAATTATAATTATTATATATGTATGTTTGTGTATAAGTCTTTTTTCAATTTTAATTATTTCAATAGATTAATAAGTACAAGTTCTTAAAGTAAAAAGAGAAGTCACGCGTTTACATTAGCAAAATTATAGCACACAATAATTATATTTTACTTATTAAAATGATAACTTTGTGTGTGAGTATAATGGAAATCGTAATAACGTCATAATTATACGCCGAAGCATATTGAGAAGTCAGAGATGATTATATCCTGCGCAAATAAAGTATATGTTAAAGCATGAATTGAAACGCCGGAGATAATTATATCCTGTAGTAGTAAACATCAGAGATATCAGGTATTAATACACTTCAGTTTTTTTAATAATATTAATCATAATTAGTAATAATTGGTGAATAAGTAATAATTTTTGTCTTTTATTTTTATTTGTAGCTTATTGAAAATAACCTATAATAATTATTATAAGTTATTAATAATTATTAACGTAATTAAATTGTCAGGAATTAATTATTATTATTTAGAATATTATTATTAAAATAGAATTATTATTAATTTGTGCTTAGAAAATTAATTATATAATTATTATTACTCTGATAGGAAAATTGTGAAAACATTTTACATAATATAATGACATCATGACTTTACAAAAAATTTTTCCATAATTGCACTAGCAAATGATTCACTGTTATTATTTTGTTGAAATACTATTTAGAAATTAATTGCAAACAGTTATTAATATTTTATAAAAGATGAATATTTTTAAATCTATTTTTTAAAATATTTCTATATAATTCAAATCTATATAATGTCTATATAATTAATAATTCCATATAATATCTATATATTTCTATATAATTTCTATATAAAACAAATCACAAATTTTATGCTAGATTTGTCATGTAATTTTATAGATGTTTTCCTATCGGGATAATTAATAATTTTTTTGTTTGACTTTATACTTAAATTAGTTAATAATTATTATACAAGTTTAATAAGTATTAATTAAACTTATATTATTAATTAGTTGATTATTAGTTAATAAAGATATAAAATTACGTAAAAAGTATAAAATTACGTAAAAGGTATAAAATTACGTAAAAAGTACAAAAAATATAATTTTGGCATTCTTATTCACGCTCGTATAAAAAATAATTTCCTTTTTTTACATACTGCAAATATATTAATGGCACAAAGAGATCCAAGATTATCCTTTTTTCTTACCTACCTATGTTTCGGTATAATAGGCTCTGCTTTAACAATCTGCCACACGGGCTTGTAGGATAATTGATTAGTTGTCTCATCGACAAATTTTCCGGTACTTTTCTGAAGACTGTGGACAGGCCGAATCGGTTGCGAACGTGCATAACGTTGATCCACATTTAGATACGATAAGTGATAAGTTGTATTGGTCTCGAATTGTTTCGACGGCACCTTGTACAATCGCTCCGGTGCAAAGGATTTTGCACGCGGAGGCTGCACGTACCTTTTGGCATACTATATACGCGTACGAATATTAATAATCATAAATATAAGATAATGAATTGTATATTATATTACAATATGCAATAATAATAACCAGTAGCAGTTATAAATTATGAATATATATTAATGACTTTTGAATAAACAACTTATTAATTAAATTATTATAATGAAAAGTTTAATACTGCAGGTGAGGTGTCAATTGATAATGGATTTCATTGTATATAAAAATCATTAGAAAATAATTCAGTTTACAAGATGAGATAAACATTACTTTAGCTTTGCATGGACACTTTATTGTTTTGGCAGATGATAAGGCTTTCCTCTTCGAACAAGATTCGACAACCTCCATATTGCAGCTTTAAATTTCCCTTTTCTTTCCATACACATATATGTATGCAATGAACGATGCACTAATGATCTTCTACATAAAAATGATATTGTAATATCAAAATATTTAAAATAATATATATCTTGTAGAGTCAGATTTTTATAACATTGTAAAAAATCTAATAAAATACGTCTGACATAGAATAGAAACTAAGTTCGTGATATTCTCGCCGGAAAAATTTATCGTCGAGTCATCGAGTTTTTCCTCGAGATATCAATTTAGATTCAAATATGATCGCGTATGATTTTTTTTTCTCCAAACGATGTTTGTATAAAAGAGAAAATAGGCAAGAATACAATGTTATAAAAATTGCTAGAAACTCTATTTCGTTCATGTATTTCAGTAGCAATTTAATTTGTACTTAATGGGTAGAGCGTTATAACTACTTGGAATTTTTCCGTTCACCAATATATGTGTGACACGATGTATGTGTTATGAAAGATCACAGTTTAACTTTAAAAAATTGTATACAGCGTTTTAAAGTATCTAATAATCGATACCTCTTATATGTGACAAATTAACGTCACATTTTTATATGAAAGATGAAAAAAGGAAAATATCGTATATCTTCAAATGTAAAAGAATATAAGATATTTTGTTTCTCGACTTTTCTAAGTTGTAGCTATATGACATTAGTTGTTCTCTAGGCGTTGATCTATGCATTCTTTTCACCAATTGGCACAAGCTACAATGTGTACGTGTATGTGGAAGACACGAGAGATGTATTTCAAAGCGTGCAACTTGGCTTATGCCTTGTTCATGGGTTATATATATATACCTAAATTTTAAACGCGCCTAATTTACATTTTCTTTTCATTAAAAGAATTTGGTTTAACATTATATATATATATATATATGTATTTACTGTATACAATATATAGTTGTACGAATATCTTATATCTCAAAAACTGAGGAAAAAAAGAGATTATAAATACAGCCTAAATGTGATAACCATCTCCTCTTGATTAATCTGCAGTCGCACTAAAATAAAAGAGAGGTAGAAATGTGTAATACAATAAACTTAGAAAAATAATTAATTACACATTATTCGCGCGACGCATGGGACAGTTCCATCATTTGACTGACACTGATTCACAAACACTTGATTCAACTCCTATCTTCAACACCAGGAGAAGAATGGACTCTTGTTTTGGAAGCGCTGAGTAAACGTGTCAGAGAACGAAAACAACCTAGGAGCGCCGTTTCCTTTGGCCCTAATAAAATAACGCGTATGAAATTTTATCAAACAAACACATTATGCATTAATACAGAATATAATTTGTTGTACTTTTCAATGAACATATAAATAAGAATATATACTTTTCCACAATTACAGCCGGCATTTGTACCAATTGTACAGGACTTTTGGCGTCTTTCAAGGCCTGTTGTAGATTCAAGATCTGACCACGCATCACACTCATTTGCCTATCAAAGTGATGACGATCAAAGCCCTTATCTTGCTGAAATAGATGAACAAATTATACTTTGTTGCATGTGTGAGACATACACATACACATGATATAATCTCTAAAAATAATAAATGTAACTTACTTTGAACAATTGATATAGATCGTCGCAAAGATCCTGTACAAAGTTCTGATCCGAGAGTTGCGGCAGAACTAGTTCTCTCGTGACCTCGCTAAACGGTTGTTTTGCCTGAGTCAGCCATGCCCAATGATAAGGATACGCCCGCCAAGAGTCCGGATGCTTGAAAGGAAAAGCCAGGCCGTTGTCGATTGCTGCAATCTTCACCTCACCCTGCTCAGATCCATTTTTACTGACGCTAGTATCATATTTGATCAGCCAGTTGTCGTTACCTACGAGAGCGAGATTATCCCGTTGCGTGTATATAAGATGCGTATAACTTATAGCAAGTGCAAACGGCTCAATCGAATTTACCTCTGTCTGTATTCCTGATGATATAATCCAGAATAACCAACCGCTCGAATTGAAGTTGAAATTCTCGACTCAGGTGCGCCGGCATGGATTCGTTTTCCCATCGCCTCAGCCAATAGTCAGCGTCCTTGTAACCGTCTACGAAGACTTGAAAGGAACCGACCTTTGGCGGCAAACCAATACGATTGAAATGCGATCCCACTGTAGGAAACTGATCCATGATAGCCTGTTTCATGCGTGCCTTTTGACGATCCAGACGTGGATAATTGAATACCTCGCTGACGAGTTTCACTACTCTAGTGTTTGGTACGATGCCGAGGCCTAGTTTACGATCGACCAGACTGGCTCCCGCTTCGCTCAAGTATCCTTGATTTGGAATGAGACAGCTCCTGCCGAAGCAGCAAGGACAGCAAAGTTTGTGCATCCATTTTGTCCACTTTGGATTCAATCTGCCATAGGGCTCCTCGTCCTTTGGCTTGAATACACCTATTATTTTCTGATGAGAACAGTACAAGATCAATGACACTTGCATCACTGACTCCATTGAAAGCTACAATGGAGTCTAAATTTCCTTACTATCGCAAAAAGATTAGAGAAATAAATAAACCTTACCCCTGCAGGATTTTTGACAAAATAACTACCACTGGAACCCTGGTATATCCTCTCTGGATAAACCCCATTGTCTATTGCACACTCAGCCTGCCACACCAGTTCCGTGAACTGTGGATCATCTACAATACATACAGAAATATAATACCATGTACAAGGTAACACTATCACGGATTCTCGGAACGTCACTAGATCATGAATCACGATCGAACGTGCACTAGAAGAGGACACAGCTGCGAATAACTGCGTTAGGAGAACCGAGGCGTAATTCGACGAACCTGGAAATCTGTTGAACGTAACGTCGAGCTCCAAACGACCGAGGAGAGGCTGGCTCTCCCGGTCGATCCCGGAGGAATCTATGGCTAGGGTTTGGTCGTTGCTCAAACCGGGAATGAATTCGACGTCGGGTAGGAGGTCCCCCGATGACGGTGGCGGCGGCGGCGCCGCCGGCGACTGTCGCTCGTTCTGCGACGATAGGCGCTGATGGTGATTGCCGATGGACAGATCCACCAGCGCATCGGTCTCCACGAGAGTGACCGCGGGACTGGTATTGTTCTGACTGTGGTACTCTCGATAAGGCACGTGCAATTGCCGCTGTTCGGAGTCGCTCATCACAGATTGATCCGCGATCAAAGCGGACTCGCTCTCGCGGTTTCTCTCTCAAACGTAGTCAAGTCGAGGTCGAGGTTCTTAACCTTTCAGTTTCCGACTCGACGATGTCCTGTTTACACCTTGCGACATTCCCGCGGATTCTCCACCGCTTGTCAACGACGTGACTGACTTGTTGTCGGTTCCTTCCTGGTGTCGTAGTGTCTCGTATGCGAGGTGCATCAGCATCCTATGCGTCTATGCGTCATTCGTATTCATATATACTGGTAGATACGTAGCGTAAAATAGCAGCACACGCAACCTGCGGTCATCTACGGCGATGGAGGAGGGGTACTTGCTATAATCTAATCCGATTAACCAAAATCTGGTCCGTCATCCCAACGACGGACGCTATCAGCTGATAGGATTACCGCCATACTTGCGCGACGCGTATGCACTTTTCCGTCTCTCTCCTTCTCCTCCTTTCCCACAGTCTCTTTTTCCTTCAGTGCATGTGCAACATACTGCGGTATCCTACTCGGATCTCACGTCATTGCGAAATTGCGATTGATCTCTAACCGCGCCAATTTTTTAATGTGTCCGAGAATAAAGGCTCGAACATCTGAATAATTTGGCGACAAGTGCGAGCGCACTCTGGGAATAGGTCGAAGGTTATCTTCTGGTGGACATGTGTGAAATATTGAAGGGTTATGGCCCTACGCGATAATCTCGCTGTTTGATAAAAGATATTTCTCAGATTCAAGAGTTCCAATATTTTCCAAGCAATTTTACAAACTATTTATTCACCTCTCTTTCATTTGTATTATATATGCAAGACTAAAATTTAAAAAAATAGCTCTGTGTATGTATATGTATGTGTGTGTGTGTGAAAATTTAAGTTTTTCAAGTTCAATTTAAGTTTAAATTTAAGTTTTCCAAGTTTAAGATTTAAAAGAATACATAACGAAATAAATATATAAATTAACGTTAATGAGTTCAAATAGCTAACATTGTCCACTTTTAACAATTTATATTATCAGTTTTCTTCTCCAGCATTAGAGTAACTGGAGATATATTCAATATTAATATTATGAATTCTAATTTTTGTTGAACATTTATATCCTGTTAATTTTCTGAATCCGAGAATACATATGACAAAGACGATGTGGCAGTAGAATTAAAGAAATTTCTCTTTCTTCCATCATATTTTTGCATTGTTATATGTTTAGAATGATGGTTTCTTGGTGTTAAATTTAGTCCTTCATAGCTTGCGCTCAAGCTGCATGATACGTTTTCTGAAAGGAAATATGCTATTTATTTTTAAATTGCAAAAGAGCAATTAAAATTTCATTGTTAAAATATTAAAGATTAGAGAGAACCTCTGAAACGTTTTAGATTCAATTTAGAACGATGGAGCAATCTAGAAAAAGGTGATAGCTCTTTTCCATTCAACAAAAGCTGCTTATATTTAGTGGAATGTGGACGAGGAGATAGCCATCCGTTCATATTACTCCAAGAACTGCTAACATCTGATAATGTTGCAGACAACTTGTGAGATGATGCGTATCTTTTAAATAGCTCCTTATGTTTGCCTGGGAATTATTAATAATTGTCAAATGTGGATGTTAAATTCTGAGAAAAAATAAGATTCTAATAAACAATACCTTTTTCTGTCAGAGATGAGCACAATTTCTCATAGAAAAGATTATCATCCACACATTTATTAAAATTCAAATTAATTTTGGGAGATTGCATTAATACTTTATAATTTGTTCGTAATAATTTGCCTATATCAGTATTGGCATAAGCATTTTTATTTTCTTGAGAGTTACATACACATACACATTGTTCACTTCTAAATGTATAATTAATTCTAGTATTCAATGACATAAGTAGCATTTGTTGAAATTTTATTTCTTTGCAAATATTTTGAATAAATAATAAGCATGGCGATAAATCTGAGAAATCAGCAGCATTTATATGATATAACATTTGTACAGATATTAGATAGAGCAATGTAAGTAAAGTGGACAATGAATTGATGGAGCTATCCATGTGTAAGTTGTTGATTGTATTGCTAAATTTTTGCTAAATTAAAAAAAAATAATTTTGCATAATTTAGAGAGATTTTTCTATATGATTTCTATCTTACCTCCAATAAGAAAATATTGTAATTAATTTTTGGAAATTTATTTGCATCAAGTATTCCTGAATTTGTGTTTATTCTCAAGACAAGTTTGCACAAGCAATTACAAGATTCTTCCAATTCATTTAATTCTTTATTCTTTCTACGTATATATTGTATCTTTTCAAGAATGCTTTTTTTCCATACTGAAATATAGAAGAAAGAATGTAAAAATTAACAATTTTATAAAGTTTATATACAGAAATGCTTACTGAACACTAACAATTTATGACATTTATATCCTCCACATCTATAAGTCGTTTTTGAATTAATGGATGAACTGGTGTATAAAGAACTAATCTTTCTATATTTTCTTTCCTATCGAAAATCTCTGATTTATATATATTTAATATTTCATTCTCGTTGCTGAAATATAAAATGCAGTTAAATGAATTGATACATCCATATCATTTATCACACAAATGAAAATAATTTACTTGAGAAAGATAATTGCTGTATCATGAATTCTTTGTATCTCCTTGTAAGTTTCTATTATAATACTGTGTTTTTTGGCAATTACATTATTAAAGTATGTTACAATTAAATGATCCATTGGACTTGGACATGGTGCATTCCACAATTCTCCTTGAACTGAAGAATCTGACTTGAATAAATCATGATTGCACCGAAATAGAAAGAGTTATTGTCTTTTTATGTAATACATATTACTTACATTCTCTTTTAATGTAAGTTCTAAGTGCGACTTGAGATAGCTTCCACATAATAATCAGAAACTTGGTACCTCCCGACTGAATCAAGTGGGACATCAATATTGGTGGAAAGTTAACGTCGGGATTATCATGCGATAAAATGGAAAGAAAGTTTCTCATGTCGATACGATACATCACTTCATCCCTTTTACACGAGATCGGCCATCTGACTATTTGCTTAAAAAGTGTCGCGTCGTACACGATTGATAGATAATGAGATACATGCAAGAAACCAGCCGTATTGGGTTTGTCAAACATGCCCTTTCAAAAGAAAAAAAATGCTCAAAAATTTATAACTTACGTTATAACATAAAATTAGCAAAATAAAAATTTATGTATCTTTCTATACCTGCCTAAAATATCGCTGAAATTCGATAAACGGGGGTTCCATTTGCGTAAGCAAAGATACATTTTTGTAAAACGACGATCCAATAGTTTTAATATGACCTTCTTCTAATCTATTCATTATAATTATATAGATAAAAATTTAATTCGAGTCTGTTTCATCGACGATATCCATTTACATTATGAAAAAATGATACACGTTCGACCCCTATATAAATTATTTGAATTTTTCTAAAAAGTTGTGTTTATTTAATGACAAAGATTTCCTTGTTATATCCTGTGCTAAAGCAAAAAAACGACGATAAATGTCGGAATGAACGAACTAATCCAATCCTAATCTTTACATTTTGCTTTTTTTAAATTTCAGTTTCTTGTTTTAATCTAAAAATAATTATACATACTTTATCTTTCTCAATTAACGACATCAGACTGTAAAAAACAGTATACGATGTGTAATTTTTGAATAACGATTGTGTAACTTTTAAATCACACGTGTACCAATCAGATCTCTTTAAAAGCCGGCTATTCGCCTTTTGGATTTTTTAAAAATAACCAATAAGTTTAAAGGAGGAGCGTCCTGTTTGATCACGTTGCGATTGCACAGCCAATTATATCGATCTGTGCCTAGGGTAACCAGCAACGATTGAACGACCAATCAGAGAATCCTATTTTGAATTGGCCAATTGGCGACGTGGTCAATAGGATGTCACTCGTTTAAACGTACCAATGTAAATATGACTTTAATCAAAGGGAAATTTAAGTTTTCTTTTAACAGTTTTGGTAATCATGCAAAATGACTGCGATCTGCGATTTGAATGCAGTTTGCTGTCTACACTGCAGTATATCTGTAGGAGTTTGTTATGACTGTCACTAATCGTTAATTTGCATGTGTCGAAAAAGCCGATGATTCACTGACTTATGCAGTTTTATATCGATCTTTTATTAAATAATTGATAACAAATAATGGCGTCGGGATTAGAGAGTTACATGAATCGTATCCTTTTTATATTGTTTACCTTTCAAAAGCATAACAAATATATTAACCTAAACACCATCTAGATACGGTTTCGATTATCACGTCGGACGGTAGAAATTTTATTGTAAGTATACGAATTTTGTGAAATTATGCGACAGCACGAATTTATAATAATACACAATAAATAGTTTAAACTGCCTTTGCATAAAGGTATACTTTCAATTACAAGCATACATTACAATGTTGTGTTTACATTGTTTTCCTGCATTTTATAATTGCTAAACTTAATATAATTCTTTTATAATCTTTTTATTCTTTTCTTAATATAATATTTTATTTTATGTAACAATTATTTTATATTTAAAGAATTTAATTGTAATTATACTCTACACATATCAAAATATTATTATCGAGATACATTTTTCATATGATTAATAATTTGGCTTAATTTCAAATCAAGGTTTTATTTTAGGGCACATTAAAAGGTTTTGATCAGACAATCAACATAATTCTTGATGAATCACATGAACGGGTATATAGTACAACGCAGGGAGTGGAACAAGTTGTCTTAGGTTTACATATTATCAGAGGAGACAATGTGTTAGTATAATTTCTTGAAATAACAAATAATAGCTTTAATAATCATCATAACATGATTATTTCTTTTATTAATATATCTATATTCACAATATAAATAGAAAAATAATTTTATTTTGCATTGTTTGTAAGAAAATAAATAACGGACATAAAACATATTTGTAAAAAATATTACTTAATTATAAAGGTTTTTTTCTTTCAGAGCGATAGTAGGCGAATTAGATGATGAGATGGATGCACGATTGGATCTTTCAGCGATACGTGCTGATCCTCTAAGTTCCATTATACATTGACGAACGTATTTGGGATTGCAATTCAAATTGCCGCTCATTCTCATTCGAAATTTAAAATAAAAGCAACTGTACGTTATAAAAAGAAAAGAATACAACTCTTCATACAAGTTGTATATCGTATAAAAATTTTCCATTTCTTATATATAAGATATATATATATATATATATATGCATATATATATATATATATATATATATATATATATATATATATATGTAACATATAATTGTATTTCAAAAAGTGCGTAGATTTAATATAGTATTATTTACATCATTGAGATAAAGCAGCAAGAATTTGCAATTAAAACAATTCTCATCTGTACAAAAATCTTACTATATAATAGTAAACTTTATTCTTTACAAATGTAATTTTGCTCTATAATATAGTGATAGATGAAAATATAATCGCACCATAGATTAACATTGAATAACATCTAAATAATTCAATAAGGATTTTTAAATATATTTCGTATTTATTTTTAAATTTATCCTAAAGAAAATATACGTACAACCCTATAGAAATTGTTTTCTCACAGAGTCTACTCAGAATCTATCATCATTATTATTATTATTATTATTATTCAAAGTCACACAAATCTGTAAGAATTTAATAAAGCTGTAAGTAATAATTTGCATCGGAGATCCGCGAGAATGAGCATAATACATTATATTATTTCAAACAGAAATCGATACAATGCCGGAATTTACATGCACATATCTTTTTTTTATGTAGAAAAGTATCTCGTGTCATATATGACGCAAAATTTCTCGCGCACTAATATTACTTTCTTTATAAAATATTGCATTTCGTATTAGATTCTCTCCGTGATATGGATAAAGATCGTGCATGTCATTTGATTCGCGAGTCGTACAAAGAGATAACGTGTATGCAAAAACCGTAGTCATTCTGCGACTTGCATGGAAGACAAAGAAACTATCAACTTAATCAACATCTTTATCATCGCGTTCGCTCCGTTTGTTTGCGAATTAATTATTTCGGCATGACTTACGTTCTGTATACTGTCTTTTCTTCATACAGGCTATTTATAAACTAGTGGATACGCATCAAATATATCTATACTCTTTATTTGACGGATTATATATTTCACTAGCGACGTGTTGAGAATTTTATGCGACAAATTATAGTTAGAGTGATGGATCATCGTTCAACAGTGATGATACATTTCGAACGTTTAGATCATGATGGATTTTTTTACACGAACCACGCGTGTGAGCATTACATGCAGCGCAGTTTCTCCTACTGCGTTTATTAAAGAATTACATACGATGCGAGCTATCGATTTTCTTCGTCACTAGTTTGCAATTTGCAATTGTCGATCGCATTCGTTATTAATACAATAATCGTCAAAATAAGAACTTTCTTGAATAATTATTACAGATTTAACTTTATAAACGATAGTAAATAGCAAAGAGAATAAGAAATATTCATATATATTTACATAAATATTTATAATTTAAAAATAAATTTGTGATAATAAATCTATAAATTTTATAGCGATACCATCAAAATTAACTGGAAAGACTCCAATATACACTCGAGCATGTTGCATATATATGTATGTATGTATATATGTATAATACACATGCATATATGCAGTTTGATCGCTCGTGAGAATTATTATCAGGTGTTCAGTCTATATATATATTCATTTCTCTTGCTGTTTTTTTCAATTATTAGTCACTATATTGGTCCTATTACGGTTCCTTCGGCGAATACGACCGCCACGCTGTCTATTGCTGCCCGGACCCCAATCATCTCCCATCGGTCCAAAGCTGGGCCCGTTTGATCCATTTGGATTGAATCCCATCATGCCGGACTCGCTAGTTCCGCCGCCGCCAGGTCCTCCAAAATTATTGTAGCTGCTAGGACATGGAGGATAAGGAGGACCTCCTTCGTAAGAAGGAACAGGCGCGGGACCCAACAGTCCAGCTCCGTTGTTACGCTGCACATTGAAACGCGGATCGAAATTCATCTGATTCTGGGACGGCATCGGGACGGGTCCGTTCATACCCATCCCGCCGGCACCATGTGGCATTCCCATGGGCGGCGGCATAGATCCGGGGTTCATCATGGGTCTCATGGGGCCCATATTCATCGGGTAATTTGGACCCATCGGTCCCATCATGTTCTGCGGGCCTGGCATGCCGCCGGGTGGTGGTCCAGGCATACCGGGCGGTCCTACTTGCATACCGGCCGAATTAAGACCCATATTGGGACCCATAGCTTCCATCGGTTGCGGCTGCATTCCTTTGGAAGCGTTGATTGCGTTTTGCGAGGACTGTTGATTTGAAGCAGCTGCCTCGAGCGTCTTCCGTCGTGGATCCATACGAATTGTACATTGTGGTGGCGATTTTGGTGTCTCCTGCTTGATCGGTGGCGGCGACATCGGTGAGTCGGCCAGTTCAGGTTGAACAATACGGAAGATCTTACGAAGACGCGGATCGTACTTGACCTGCGCATCCTCCTTCGTTAGTTTGAGACCGGTATAGTCTGGTCTGGGTATGTCCACCACATAAACTTTGTACGGCATTGGCGGATGCGACGCGATACTCGCGTCGATCTCGGTACATGGCTTATGCGCAGGCGCCGGTTTAAATGGTAAACTTAATATCTGTCGCAGATCCACATCAGATTTTACGCGAAGATCTGTGTCGCCAAATTCGCTGGTCTGAAAACGTTGCCGAAAATCCATATCCTGCCGTCTGAGATCTTGATCTGCCCTTGTTCGGAGATCGGTGTCCATATTCGCGTCCATTGCAGTAATACCGGAACTATAGATGCTAGTTTCCAATCTAAGAGGTTTCTGCGATTCCCTTTTAACGTCAGATATGCTTGGACTGCTCGGCTTTTGCTCTACTTCTCGACGCTGCCTAGGATCTCGGGACATGCGCGGATCTCTAGATACTGGTGCGGCAACCGAACTCAATCCCGGTGATTGTCTCGGACTCGACGACATTTCGTTGTCCGATTTAGGATCTTGTGTTGATTTAGTTTTGGATGCGTCTTGATTCGAGTTAGTCGTTTGTTGTGTTTTACTGCTCGTTGAGCTTTGAGCTTTTATAGTGGATAATAGCTTAGATACTTCGGCACTGATATCGATTTTGCTCAAGTCGCCTAATTTATCCACGATAGCGGCCGGTTGGGGCACATTGGACGTGGGTGGCGGCGACGGAATCTCTTCCTTGACAACGACGTTCTGGTTTTTCTCGATGATCTCGAGCTCATCCTTTGAACTGTCCACTATAGTAAGATTGCCGCCTTCATCGTCATCGTCGTCATCTTCGTCTTCATCATCCGAATACCAATCTTCGACGACTTGATCGGCACGTGCGCTGGAATCATTATCCATGTTTTTGAAACTGTCCTGTGCTGCGCGCTGCTGCTGCTGTATTCGCATGAATAACTCTTGCGCCTTTTTCGGCAAATGAGACGGCACCGTTTCATGTTCGTCCGTAGATGAAAAGTAAACGTCGTGGATTTGATCACCTGTTTTAAAGACAAGTATATAATAATTATTTTGTGTCATTATTTTATATCATGTTTAAGTTTTTTGATCATTTATGTTATATATTTTTTAGATAAATTATATAAATGAAAATAAGAAATAAAAAACACTACTAAATAGTAAGCAAAATTGAGATATAAAATAAATATAAAGTTACATTTTTTATTTTAAACATTATTAAATCCTTTATAAAATCGAATATAAAAAAGAAAAAAGAGAGTCATGTAATATAAGGGGTATGTAATATAATTATTCTTACTTTGCTCGTTATCAATATGCTTTTCTTTTTCTTTATCCTCATCTTCCGTCGGTACTTCGATAACGAGTTCCGCTTCTTCATCTTGATCACTCTCGTCATCGAGTTTATTTTTCGTAAGACTCGCCACTTTATCAGCTATACTATAAACAGGCGGTGGTTTCTTTGCATTCAGTAACTGCCTTAAGTCAACATCTTTTCTCTTTTTCGACTACAAATTTATAAATAAAATATATCATCAAATGTCTGTATGTAATAAAATAAGATCATATATCAAAATATATGATGATATCTAGATTCTGATACAGAATCGTAATATATTAAGATATTTTTAATTCAAATTTTCTAATAAAATTTATTATATATATATATATATATATATATATATATATATATATAATACACATATATAATGTGCTTGTTATTATTATAAATTCATATATAATGTTATACCTCGTCTAGTATATCATCTTCTCCTACATCTTTTGTAAAATCTTCTTTCGTTTTTTGTACAGTTTTATTTGATTCTGCATTTCTTTCACTATAGAAATTTGATGGTGCAGTAGGTTGTTTTTGTGCTTGTTGTTGCGTAGCTAAACCTAATGCAGCATTTGGAAGTTGAAGACCAAGTTCATTTGCCGATTGTAGTAGCATAATATGCTCATAGGGAACTCTGTCCTCGTCGGATCCCCATCGTGTCTTTTTTCCAGTAGGCTTCCTCTCCCTCTTATCTTGGTTGGCTTGTTTTTGTGGACTTGTTTGTTCTTCTATTTAATTAAACAATTTTAAATTAATATAAAGATTAACAAATAAACAAAATGAAAATTTAAAAAAATTTGATAACAAAAATATATTAAATTTTCTTTATATATAATTACCTTTGTCTTCTTTTTCATCAATTTTTTCTGTAGGTGCTGATAGATTCAATTCGAAAAGACTGGGAATCTTTTGATTTGTTATATCTTGACCTTGAGCCAAAGAACGTGCTGTTTTATTTATCATTATTATTGCACCCTCTCTACTTAATCTTGGAAAATCACCAAGAATTTCCTTTGGCGCAGTTTCTAAGTGTTTCAAAAGAATACCCTTTACCTAAACAGAAACATATTTAAATAAAATAGCAATAAATTTAAAACACAATTTATTTTATTTTACTTATAATTTAAATGTGCTTATATTTTAATATTATTAACATTATAATATTACTTATAATATATATTGTAAAAAGATAACATAAATTATATGCAACTATATGATTATATTAAATGTACCTGTTCATTCAGAGGCTGATGTGAGAATTTACAATTATCGCCCTGATTACATCTCAAACCAGTATGGAAGAACTTGCAAGGGAAATCGTGATGCATATACAAACATTTATCACGTTTAGCACAACAATCCATAAGATAAAACTTGCATAATTCCATCTTTCTGGGTGGTAAAGCATTATGCGAATATGGACAATCGTCCCCCCTATGACACTTTCCTTGCATATAATATACACAAATTGTATCTGCATCTTGATTATGATCATTATTCTGTGGCCGACGATTATTTCGTTCGTTTCGGATTTGACTCCGTGTTTTGTTCTTACCACGTTCATTTTTGCCACCGCGACGCCCTATTATATACAAAAATTGTTAAAGTTAAAAATACAATCGAATGTAATTAATATAGTGTATATAAATTATAAATTAAATAACTTTAATCATGTATAATAAAAATAAGAATTACATATATAATATATCTTAGTTATATAATCATAATTAAGTAAAGTAGAAATAAAAGTATACTTTTTGTACCTCCTCCCCCTCCCCCTCCCCCTCCTCCACGTCCAGTGCCGCGTTTACTCTCATTTTCTCTATGTCGATTTATATTAGGTCTTTCCTCATAATCCGAATTGCTGTCAAGATTTTCGTGCTCGCTTGTACGTTTAGGAGAATTATTATTTTCTTGAGAATCCTTTCTAGTAGGGGAAGCTCCTCGCACGAAAAGCATTTCGTCTTCATCTTCGTTGGTGTTTTCATCATCGCTCAATTTTCGTTTCTATAAATATTATTGACAATATTAAGTCTACAGCTTTAAAAGTAACTTTTAAATTGAAAAAATAATTTTTAATTTGCATTCGTGAAATAAAACTCGTTATCTCATGTGTATATTACCTTTTGATCCTTATTACGATCATCTTCTTTCTCATCACGATTTCTTTTCCGAGCTTTATTCCTGTTATTCTTGTTCTTTGTTTTGGATTCCTGATTTTTCCCTCCATCCTCTTCCATTGCAGCCTTGATAGCTTTCTGAACATCTCCAGCCCAATCTTCAGTTGGACTTTTGTACCTTAAATAATGTTTACCAGTCGCCTGTGTAGACTGTTGTTTTTTATTCTTGTTAAACTTTGCATCAAAATTTTTATTTTTTGCAGAATCTGATTTAAGAGTTGGTTTAGCAGTCTCTGCTGCATCATTTGCTGCAGGAACGACTGCCTCGTCGTCCTCGTCTGATGGAATTTCTCCATCTTCCAAATCATTGTCATTACTGCTGTACATATTTAAAAAAAAATATTGTTAGAATTATAAAAACATTGCAAATTTTTAAATTATTTTCTATTAATTTTTATGATATTAATAATATTATATAATTTTTACAAATCGTATAAAAAACTACTTATATATTTATGTATTTTACAAATCATAAACTCTAATATCTAATATAATCACATAATTATGGATTTAAACAACAAGGTGTTTTCTCTCTCTTTCTCTCTCTGTTTCTTCAATGACTGCAACGAAGACATAATACTATTTTCACATATATACATTTAAAACTCTTCTGTACTTTCAATATTTTTTACTATGAAATATATCAAATTATTATTTTTTGTTACATCTAAAGAATGTGCAATAAGTTTGTTTAATATACTACATTATTATTAATTTAGATATATGTATATGGTTTCTGCAATATATATACGATTTTTTATGCATAATTAATTATTAAACAAACATGTAGTCTTCGATAAAAGACAATTTTTTTATTGTTTCATTATATTATTCAATATCGCTGTACGACATAAAGCTGAGCTAGATCTGATGATGTTTTTAAATTCCTATAAGAATACATGAAGAATACATTCGAGAAAACATATTTTTAGTCAGTTCATTAAAATTCAAAATTGAGATAATGATAGCTATGATTCTTCGCAAAGAATCATCTAAATCAACACAATCTTATTTTACGAGGCTCTAAATAAAAAAGAAATCCTTAAGTCGCACGCTACGTTATCACCATGATTCATAATAGTTTATCGAAATAGCATGCGTGTTGTTTTATTAAAAACACGCTAAAAGTGATAGCGGAGGGGAGATCATGAAGAGGACGGACTCGTCAAGGATGAATTGATAGCAAGCAGCCGACGAATTACATGTACGTCGTACGGTGGAGAACTCTCTCGAGAAACTTGACTCGAATGGACTATAACGTGGCGGCATCCGAAGCTACTGATCGTGTCGAAAACATGAGTCGGAGAAAAAAGAGACTACATGCGTATCAATTGCACACCCGGTAGAAACCGATCGATGGCAATTCCCAGCAGGAAAACATGCAACTATACGTATATATAAAGACGTCGTATCAATTGCAATTTTACAAGTCGTGTATGAATCATATATGAATCATATTTGTAATATTTATATTTAACAAATCAAATTAAATATCACGAATAAAATTATATGTCACGAATATATATCTATATTAGAGATATTAGATAATTATGAGTTTAAATAATAGATTCTTTGGATTTTTTTTATATAAATATAATTTTCGGTTATATGTATAAAAACAGATGAAAAGGAGAAAAAAATGAAAACAGAATATATCGTTACAAATTGGACGAGTTCAAACTCCGATCGACGATATTTAACGTGCTAAGAAAGAATCGAGGATCTAAAGTCTAATAATTACGTCGTAGTGATAAAAAAATTTCAAGAGTTTCAAGCTCTGAAAATAAAAGAGAAGCGATTTTCCGCGATAGAAAATCTCCTTCGATCAACGTAATTGAAGTAATTTCATTGTAAGAGTATATAACTTGAATATAATAAGTATATATACGACTATTTATGGAGCAAAAATCATAAGTATATATATACACGATTATTTATGGAGCGAAAAATTCTCGAGAAACGAATTGGCACGATGTGCCTCTTTTTCGTTTACCTCCAGCATCGGAGATTGAACTCACCGAGATCATGCTCGATCTCTTTCTTAAACTCACATAGTGCAAAAAATCATTTGCTAACTGTCAATTAATCATATCGAATCTCAATTTTTTTAGAGCATAGAGATACGTCGCCGCGTAAAAATGGCGGATCTCGAAATGGAAATAAAAGATTGCCTTACCGCATCTCATCGGGACATCATTATCATTATAATTATCATCATCAGATCATGCTCATCATCATTACGACGAATCGTCATAATCATCATAGTATTATCATAGCATTGAAGAAACCATCACATTTCCAGCATCGTCGTCGTTGCAGCATTGTCGATTTAAGGGTGACATTAAAGCCGATGATGTCAAACGGGGACATTACGTCCAAGAGCTCTTCGCGTGTCGACTCTCGTTCATCAAAGGGTCTCTCTCTCTCTTTCTCTGTCTGCTGTGTATGCGTTGCGTGCGTAAGTGCATGACGCGCGTGTCTCGCGTGTCAAGGGGGAAAAAGACTAAAGGTCTCGCGAGCGTCTGATTGTCTCTGCGTGGGAGAGAGCGTGTATACAGAGTGACTCAGATCTACCACGCTTCAACCTCCGATGACCTCTGTGGAAAAGTATTCCTTTCCGTAGAATGTGAAGACAATTTTTCTAATTTTTTATATGTAATATCGTTTTTGATTTTTTTAAATTGAATTTAGTGTTAGATGTTTCGATAATTAAGATTCAGAGTTAAAAAAATTCTCTTGAAATAAAATTCATTTCTCGGACAAGAATGAGATTTTAATCACGACTTGCTCCAAATTTAAGCGAAATATTAAGTCGTTCATCCTTAATTTTTTTAATAATTTAATTTATTATATCGATTAATTTATTATATCGATTAATTTTAATATTCAAAATTATCTCACCTGTTAATATATATTTTTTAAAGAATTGTTAATTTTAATAAGAGGATTCATCGCGAAAAGGTAAAAGAGCGGTAGATCCGAGACACCTAGTATATGGCACACGTCACAAGAGAAAAAATTGAAGAATATATACTCTTTCGTCTTGTTTACGTCCATTATTGTGTGCGTGAATGTAATCAGTCTAAGTACCTGTCGTAAAGGAGGGGAAAAAAGCTAAAGATTCCTGTCTCGACCGAAAGTAGATCGATTCGCGGCATTTATCGTCCCGATTCGTGTGCATCCGCGAATCAAAAATTCAAATGGGGAAATCTAATTTTAGATCGATGCAAATTATGTTTCTACAAAGACTAATATAAATCAAAATCAAAGACTAGTATAAATCAAAGTCTCAGAGCCACATGGCTCTTTTTATAAATATAATTTCTCGCGATCCAAGCTCGTCGAAGTATTCTATTCCGATAAATATCTCTCCCTTAATCTCGTCCCAGCAATTTTCTATAAATAAAAAAAAAAAAAGGAAAGAGCCGAATTATGTGCGCGCGCAATCATGCGACTCGCCCACCTGTTTCTTTCTCTCTCGCCAAAACTGCATCCGCGATCCAATTCTGAAAATAATTCGCCGGGACTCCCGCGGAATCGACTCCGATAATAATCGCGGCGTCATTTTTGACGAACGTCATGAAAGATAACAGCCTCGGCTCCTGTCCATCTCATTCTCTCGCTTGGTATAAGCGCACGAAAAGAAATCTATATCCCATCTCCTAAAGCCAGGTGAAGAGACAAGATTACGAAGAGAAGCGTTCGGAAAAACGAACGCGTATTCGAAATCGAATGCTCTTTTCGTTCCCAGTTTCCAGGTCTCGTGAAATCGGTCGAAACAGGGTGGAAGGAGGGAGAGGGGGAGGGAGAAAGAGAGAGAGAGAGAGAGAGAGGCAGTCGGAGGCGGAGGGAAGGGGGAAGAGGGGCATGGTGAAGAAAAGAATGCTGGTGGAGGGAGAGCGAGGGGAGCTACGTGTTTCGTACGTGTATACGTATGTCCCTCCGTCTCGTATGATTGTCAATGATGATAGTCACTCGCGAAATTCTCCTTTCTCGTTTTCCGTCCGATTGGCGGTAAAGCGAATAAAAGAGAATACGTAATATGTACATAGTATGTAGGAAGGCAAACCTTTGGATTAGAGTCTCAGCCGCGGAAACACTCTCTACTGCCATTTTCGCTTTCGGTTCCGCAGATCGATCACGATCTGCGACGTGCGTGTCTCGCTCTCGGTACCCCGGAGTGAACAAGTGAGTCTGTTTTTCCTATATATCAGCACTATGCGGCCTTCCGATCGGCCGGGACGGCGATCGTACGATCGATTCGACCGACCACACTCGACAGGTCTTTGCTCTGGCGGAATAATCGCGCTGCCCGAATGAATGCTAGCATTTGTGAGAGAGCTTAATCAACGCTCCCCGTGTAGAAACGTACTCTGTGAAAGACTACGTCTCCTTTTTCTCTCCCTTTCTCCGTCTTTCCGTGTCTCCGTTCCTCCCGTTTTCTCACGCGATTAACCGCGACGATCTTTTCTCTCTCTACGTATCCCGAAAAAAACAGTTACGCCCTTGTTACGTTCTTTAAACGAGCTTTTCTCTCTCTCTCTGTCTCTTTTTTCACAAAAGGACCTTGAAGTCCTCTCGGCGGGATTTTTCCCGAAAAGTTTCTCCTACCGAACTGAATGAGATATGAGTGTTTAGCACTTTGCCTTTACCCTTTTCTCTCTCTCTCTCTTTCTCCCTCGCCGAGAGGGCGGCGAATACAATTTTCACTATAGCGCGAGATCTCTCCCTCGCGCGAGCGACCTCGCGATCTCTCTCTCTCAAAAAGCCCGCAACAAGCAGAATGGAATTCGGTCAGATCGCGCGATCCTCCTTTTCTCGCCGTCGCGAGAACGACGTCATTCTGGCTGACGTGGCATATGGCTGACCCAGGCGACGAACGCTCGTCGTGGGCGCCTCTCTCTCTCCCGCGTAGCGATTATCTTTTTTACCTACCCACCCTATCCGCCTGCTCGCTCGTCCGCCCCCCGTGCCGTCCGTTTGTGTGTCTGAGTGTTACGTCGTTGCGTGTGCGACCTCGTGTGCGCGCGCGCGCGACGGTTGCGTCTCGCCCGTCGTGTCCGAAACGGAAGTGCGACGCGATGAAAATGGGAACGCGCTCGCGCGTGCGTGCTCCTCCGTTGGGAAAAAATGGGGGGGGGGAAAAAAAGAAAACCCGATTCCTCGAGCGGCAAGAGGGAGAGAGAGGGAGGCCTGCCTCCTCTCTTCTTCACCCCGACCCCCCCCGCCCTTCTTTGATAACGACGCTTTCACTCCTGCGATTTTAACCGCACGATTCTTCGGCCGACGACGATAACGTTTATCTTTTTTTCAGAGAGAGACAGAGATAGGGAGCGAAATGGATGCTTGAATGCGCGCGACCCTTACTGAGAGATCGATGAACGAGCGGATTGCAAAACGAGAACGAGAATTTTTTCGAGGAATCTCCGAGAATACGGGACTGGATCCGGATATTCACCGAATTATTCTCGGAGACGCACCCTCCCTCTGTCAATAGCCAACGCGGCAACGACAGACAACGAACGCGTGCTTCTCTTTCTCGCACGCGTCCCCGCGTCGTTCGGAGATTTCGATCTCTCGGCAAGAGCTCGGTATAAACAACATATGGATGCAGCGGAAAAACTTTTGAGATTATTGTAGCCGCAAGCAAAGACGAAGAGTAACGCGATCGGTCTCTGGTGCGTATTTACTATTCAGCAGGTAGTATAAAAATGTAGCAGTCTATATGACGATGAGCGAAACTTCGGAGATCAAACTAAACATGGCCACATCTGGAACTATTCTGAGCCTGTGAGCCAAACGCCCGTCACGCAAACCTTTCGATGGCGGCGGCGAACAAGCTAGCAGCGGACCAGGAGGGATAAAATGACGCTCGTCGGCCAATCCGGGCGCTTCGTCGCTCGGTCACGTGACGCGCGACCCACCGTCCGCATCATTGTTTCTTCCACCGCTCGTCTCGTTTCCTCTCTCTCTCTCTCTCTCTCTCTCTCTCTCTCTCTCTCTCTCTCTCTCTCTCTCTCTCTCTCTCTCTCTCTCGTCGAACAAGATTTCTCGATATTCGCCGTGATACAGTAGGAATGCTGCGAAACTCGTGCGAAAGATATTACGCGCAGACTACTAACCGTGATGAAAACGTCCGGCCCGGTTCTTTAAATGAAGATGCGCGATTTGACAATTTGCTCGTTCGAGCGCGCGCGGGATGTCTTCTCGAAAGATTTTTAATAAATAGAGCATTTATACTCGCCATGAAATTACTCTTGATTACTTACTCGTATTGATCGTATGACGATGTAGCTCTTGTCATTTGAACTTTAAATAAACTTTGCGTGTGTGCTTTTCCTTTTATATAATTAAAAAGATTATTAGGTGCTCGTGATGATAAATTTGTTTTCTCTTTGATTAGATAAGCGCTTACATGTATGCAATGTAAAAGATGACAATATTAAATTACGAAAAAAATATAATATATTGATAAAAGGAATGATTAATTGCTAGAAAATTTATAATTCTGATAATTTAATGAATAAATATCTGAATTTTTTTATATTCAATAAATTAAATACTTATTAATTTTTTAACATCCTAGGTATTTTATTACTCAAAAATTTTTTTATTTACACACCTAGAGATATTAAAAAATAGTTATTTAATAAATATGCATCTTTTATATATATATATATGTATAATCTAACTTCTTTTTTAGAAATATATTATAAATGAAACAATTTATACAAAACATAAGGCACATTTATATCAATCACATTGTAATTGCATTTTGAAGCCAAAATGTGTTTTGCAACAGTCTTTTCCATTTTGATTATAATAATTATATGTAGAAATAAACATTGTTTCTTTTTAATAAAAAGTTTTATACTACATGTACGTGAATAAATCCACATTTCTCATATTTTTATTTTAAAAAAAAACTATTGTAAATAAATTTTGTACAAGTTTCTCAAAAAATTGAAGCAGTTTCTATATTTGATGCTGTTTCATTGATGGCATTGATGAATAAAGTATTGTAAATTTATTAAAATACCGTTACAAAATACAGTTTGAAACAAAATGCTAATAAATTATCAATCAAATCATGATTATTTTATATGTTCATGTGAGCGATGATGAAAAACGAATGAAATACCGCTAGCCCAACATTGTCGTAACGATATATCCGGTAAATTTCGCGGATTATGTGAATGCCGCCATTCGGACAGATCGGAATTGCAATCGGATTGCTCCGGTGGACCCTTCACCTCGATTCCATTGACGCAACGTGTGCATTTGAACCTAAATAAATAATATTACTCTCATTCCAAGAATCACCTTGAAATATTTAAAATCATTCTATTGCACTTACTTGTCGTGCGTATCTGAAACAGTATTTTGTTCTAATTTGAATAAATCGCGAAGATCGTTTATAGTGAAATGCCTTGCTACATCATCTTCTTGATCGACCACTGTAGAACTCAATGCTTTTTTATGAGCCTGTCTCTGAAATATTTTTTCTTCTATTGTTCCAGTCTGAAAAAAAATATAAAAAATATATAAAATATATATAAAATTTAAAAATATTATTTATGATAAAAATATGAATTCCAGAAAATAATTTTATTAACTTATTATTTGATATGAATGTAAAATTTGTATTACTGACAGAAAGAAAACGATAGACGAAGCACGTTTTCTTCTGGCCATCTCTCCAGACTCGAGCCATCGCTTGATCATCATTTGCGGGATTCCAATCAGGATCGAACATGACAAGACGATTCGCACCGATGAGATTCAAGCCACATCCGCCGGCTTTCGAACTGAGCATGAAAATAAAATCGCTGCTAGTATCGCTATTAAAATTCTCAACTACTTTCGATCTTTTCTTGATAGTCATCGAACCATCGAGTCTCACATAATTGTAGGAACGTTTATTGCACAGCTTTTCGAATAAATCGAGGGTCTGTGTATAGTTAGAAACTAATACTATTTTGTCGTTTGTTGTAGTTTTAATGGACGCCAACAAACAATCCAGAACCATTAGTTTGCCTGATAATTCTGGCAGCAATTGTCTGTAACAAAAACTCTATCATCAAATCAATATTTCCTTTTATTTCATAACATAGTAAAATTTAATCTTACTTTGTGGAGTAATGCGATGGCAACAATTGTGCAGCTTTCTCAAATCCCTCTGACTTTTCCATTATTTTATCGTATATCAAATCGGGATGATTGCATAGTTTTTTTAAAAGAGTTATGGCAGCTAAAGCGGATAAATGGCCTCCTTTCTTTGGATTATCATCCTCTATATAAAATGTACGGATATAAAAAAATATATTTTATACATACACATATATGTATATGTTGCTCTTAAAATTATCAAATTAAATAATTTTAAAAAACATACCTTCCATAGATCTTTTTATACTCTCACTCTGTATGAAATTTTTATAGAGACGGGTTTGCAGCTCTCCCATTTTTATACATACTACGAATTCGTGTTTCAGTGGCAAATATTTCGAAAGTAAAGCGCTAGTACGTCTAATGAGGCACTTATTAACGACTGATACTAAATCAGATAAACGTTCTTGAGCGAGTTTACGTTGATCGTCTGTCGCAGCTGCGTCTTGACCACGTAATATAGGCGTTTCGTACTTTCTTCGGAATTCCTGAGAGAATAATTCAAATAAAAGTTAAAAACACATATATAATTTTTAGTAAATTATATATGTTAGTTTTCCTCGTTATACATATTTACCTGTGCAGTTCCCAATAATCCTTGATTAACAAAGTGTACAAGGGAAAAGTACTCCAGAAGATCATTTTGTATAGGCGTCCCGCTTAGCAATACTCTTCTCTTAGCCTTCAAACCCATTAAGGATTGATATGTTTGATTTTCAGAATTTTTTAAACGATGACCTTCATCACAAAGTACAAGACCTACTTCATCTTGATGCAGTACATGTGCGTGTAGGCGAAATGTTTCATAACTTATAATGAGAATAGGAGTTACACATCTACCGCCGTAAGTTTTCATAAACCTGAGGAGTTTTGTGTCAATTTCTGCTTTTTTTCCTCCATCGATAGCAAGGGTGTTAACTATATTATTTAACCATTTATTGATTTCATTATACCAATTCTTCACTAAAGAGCTAGGTGCAACGATAATTGCTTTGTCTATTAATGGTTTAGCTTCTGGTCCTATGAAAACATTTTTTAATTGTATTCTTTTCATCTTTTCCTAATTTTTTTAAATAGTTTTATATAGATATTTTTTTTACCTTGTTTCAATAATGTCCATAATAATGTTATACATTGCAGTGTTTTGCCAAGACCCATTTCATCTGCCATAATACAACCATATGCATTTTCTATACGTTTACCCGTTACACATTCATACATAAATTTCACTCCTTCACGTTGGTGCGGCCTTAATACATTGCACAATATTGGATCTACAACTACATGTACAAGTTGCTTACACCTGCAAAAATTATATATATAATGTAATTATATCTTATTTTAAGAAATAAACATATCATAATGGTTTGGTTAAAAATATTTGAACATATGTTATATTAAATATATATACATACGAATCAATTTTCAATCTTTCATGTTCAGATAATTCTGGTGGCGAATAGACAATTAAAGCATTAGGATCATTAGGATCGTGCAATGGTCTACGTGGTCCTGGCAGACGTAATCCAAGAACTCGCCCAGATAATTGATAACCAGGCACTGGTATTTTAAATGGTTTGCTAAGAAGTTTCCTCACTCTTTCTTCCTGATTAATATCATACATATATCATTATATTTTTATAGCAAAAATCTAATAAATAAGATTTCTTATAAACTTACATGTTCAGATACTATCTTTTGCATCGCATTGATGCCATCATCGGAAAGAAGAACAGCCTTGCGTTCCGATATTTGCACGTCCTTGACATTTTTGGCAGTCCTTCTTTTTGATTCTGGAGGACAATTTTCTGATAGAGTTATTGCTGCAATATCCTGCGGTATATCCAAAAGTAAAGGACGTTTCCCTCGTTGACTAGGTGCCAATGATCGAATCTTGAATACACATAAAGAAAGAATATTTATTATTATATTTTAGACTTATTTTCATAAAACTGTATATTTTATTCCATTTTATTAGGTAAATTAAATCAAATTCGTTTTATCGATGAATTATAAATACAATATAAACACACGTGATGTGAATGACAATTTTATACTCCATATATTGACAAAAATATTTTTTAGAAAATTATATTAACAAACAAAATAGAAATATTCTACAATTATCAGTACCATTTCACTTTTAAACGTTCATTTTGCTGGAAAATCAACAAAATATCTCGTAATTTATCGAATACAAAAATGGCGCGAACCGCTAAATAAAACCAACCTCGACTAAATTATGGTCATTAACTACAAAACGATACTAGATGTAACATGTGTTGTGTTTTTTGAACGCAGTTACCAGCGATACGAGAGTGAATAAGCGCTAAATTCAAATCAAATTTGATTGAAATTTTCTTCAATCATTTTGAGGATCTTCCTAATACATTATTTTTATTTATTTCAATCGGTAATAATAATCATTTATTTATAATAATCATTCGATAATAAATGTTTGTGAAAATTAGACATTATTAAAGGAAAATCTTTTCTTTGTTTATCAGTATCTATATAAACATTGAAAGAAAAAAAATACTTAAAATTACAAAATATAAAAAATTAAGATATTAATTTTATAAAAGAACAGAGAAAATATAATGAAATAAGATTATCTAATATACTAAATAATTAATCAAATAGAATAACATATTTATGATAGATTAAATAGCATTTAAACAAAGTGGTTCAAACAACAATTCTTCTTTAATTTTCTATTTCTAACATATACATTTTGCCTTTCACAAGACAATACATGATAATATTTCGCTCAAAACATTCTCTAGAAGTAACTGTACATATTGTGTTAAATCTCTCTCGTTTCAATTGATTCATCAATGCATAAAGAATCTTATATATGAATTTCACAATGGAATGTAGGGAACGCAAAAATACAACGTGATCGTAGATACTTTTCTATGCTTTTTGTCTACATTAATACTGAATGATATATTACACTTTACAATGGTCGTTTGGTGTGAGTGAACACTGTCGTTTTAAAACGAGAGATATATGTTATATGCGTCAAATATTGAAACAATATATATTCACAGTGTTTATTTTCATGATAAATAACATGCGTAGTTTTGAATCTGCGATTTGCTCATATGCACACGCGTAAGATTCCATAATAAATCTGTTATAATTTTAAATTTACTTTACATATCAATATCATTGCTATTTATTTTATCTCTCATTGCACAACATCAAAAAACGTGTACGATCCTTGTAAGCTTGTAACATTAATATTTATAGTATGTAAACAAGACGCGTTACACTCTTCCATTCTTTTTCTTTTCATTCAATGCATTATATATACGTTAAAATTATTCTCTTTAATTATTCTCGTGTCACATTACGTCAATCTTTTTTGTAAATACGCGAGAATAGAGGTGTTTATATTCCAATTAATGGCGATGAAAAGATATATCGAGCTTATACGCGTGATTTTCACCATTTAATTAGTAATTGGAACAAGCTTACGCGTAAGGCGAGACACATAAATAAAAAAAGCGTTTAATGGCGGGAATCCCGCGGATAGAATTCCGCAAGAGTGCTGGCCGGAATTCGCTTGAGCATCTCCTTGGGGAAGATTCGCAGTAGCTGCCAACCGATATCTAACGATTCAAAGACCGTGCGATTTTCGTAGCTACCCTGCGAAATGAAGTTCTTCTCGAATTTTGACAGGAATTCCAAGTACAATAAATCATCCGGCGTCAATGCTTCCTCTCCTACGACGGCTTTCATCGCCTGGACATCTTTTCCAATGGCATAGCAAGCATACTAAAAAGATATATTTATGTAATTGAATAAAAAATATAAAAAAGATACATATATTATATAAGAATATCATAATTCGTAATTTCGCAATTTAATAATAAATTTCTATTTTTTTCACAATTTAATATGATGACTCACCAGTTGATTAGATACATCAGAGTGATCCTTTCGCGTCATGCCTTCGCCGATAGCGGACTTCATGAGACGCGATAAGGATGGTAGCACATTCACGGGCGGATAGATTTGTCTGTTGTGCAGCTGACGATCTACGTAGATCTGACCTTCGGTGATGTAGCCAGTGAGATCGGGAATCGGGTGAGTAATATCGTCGTTGGGCATAGTGAGAATGGGAATCTGTGTGATGGAACCATTGCGACCTTCCACACGGCCAGCACGCTCGTAAATGGTGGCCAAATCGGTGTACATGTAACCGGGGAAACCACGTCTACCCGGTACCTCTTCACGAGCTGCCGATACCTCACGCAACGCCTCGGCGTAGGATGACATGTCCGTGAGAATGACCAGCACGTGTTTTTCGCACTGATACGCCAGGAACTCGGCTGCCGTCAGGGCGAGACGCGGCGTGATGATTCTTTCGATCGTCGGATCGTTGGCCAGATTCAAAAACAAGCACACATTCTCCATAGAACCATTTTCTTCAAAGTCCTGCTTGAAGAAACGTGCAGTCTCCATGTTAACACCCATGGCTGCAAACACAATGGCGAAGTTGTCCTCGTGTGAGTCGAGGACGGATTTACCGGGTACCTTTACGAGACCTGCTTGACGACAGATTTGCGCAGCGATCTGTCACAAAGAATGAAATTTTGATTAAAAATATCAAGAAAAGAAAAACTTTCACTATAAAAAGTATGATTCAATTTTGATAATTATACAAATTAATTGTGCGTAATTTATATAAGTAATATCGTAATACCTCATTATGTGGGAGACCAGCGGCGGAAAAGATAGGAATCTTCTGACCACGGGCGATAGAGTTCATCACGTCGATGGCTGATATTCCAGTTTGAATCATTTCCTCTGGATAAATACGTGACCATGGATTAATAGGCTGTCCCTGAATATCCAAAAAGTCCTCCGCTAGGATCGGTGGTCCCTTGTCGATCGGTTTTCCCGATCCATTGAATACACGACCCAACATATCCTCGGACACTGGCGTTCGCAGGATATCACCGGTGAATTCGCAGTGAGTGTTTTTCGCATCAATGCCAGATGTGCCCTCAAAGACTTGAACCACAGCTTTGGAACCAGAGACTTCCAATACTTGCCCAGAACGTAGAGAGCCATCAGCGAGCTTCAGTTGTACGATTTCAGCATACTTTGGGAATTTTACTTCATCCAATATTACCAGTGGACCATTTACTCCAGATACTGTCTTATAAGCTGGAAAGCAAACGATAGCAAGTTAATTATTTATTAAAATTCAATGTTTTTCATTGTTCATATTTTTTTAAGTGGAATTATAAATATCTTAAATAAAAAATATAGGAACATATATGTTAGAGAATTTTATATATATTATATTAAACAACTTTTTCTCAAGGTTGATAGAAAATGAAGAAAATCTTGAAATATATAAGACCTTGAAATATATAAGATTATATATATTTGTATTTTCCAAATAATTCTTTAATTTTATATTTTTTCCATATATAAATAAGAAAGGAAATTTTTACATGATACATGCATTTGAATGTAATGAATAAAAAATACTATATAGTTTACATTTCATATAATTATGTTAATAAAATAAAAAATAATCTTCTGAAGTATAATAATTTTTATTTATATTCATGACTTTTAAAAACTCATTATTTTAATTTGATCAAAACTTTAAACAAATTATATGATGATCACACATATTGTTCATCATTTATATATCTCTTTTGTACCATATTATGTCATAATCTCCCAGATATTGCCGACATAGGTTACGCCCGTAGGCAAACATCATCAAATATTTAAATAATTGTATCTTAATCATATCTATAATTCTTAATATTAATCGAGAAACTACCTCAATACATATTTTCTAGAAACATATAAAAGCAAAATTGCGCGTTTATGAAAACCATTCGAGCAAACACGAATTGTCGTCTGCAGTCACATGACAAGCTCGGTCTCGGGAGTGACAAATTCGCGAGGACGTTTTCGGGGAACAATTTCTCGTTCCTCGTCGAGAAAATCCGTCAAGGATTTACAAGCGTTGCAGATGACGTTATTGTCCCGCAAAATCCTTCGCGTAGGAAGAATCATTGAGAATTTCGGGGATCAGCTGATGCAGTCAGGGGATCGATCAGATGCTACGCCCAATTGAGTCCCGAGTTCTCATCACGATCTCCGTCGTCGAACGTTACTTACTGAGCCGGGGCTGCGCGACGAAGTCCCGGGACACGGCGAGCACATGTTCCTGGCTTGCCTGGTGATTGCTGATGGTTTTGGAATACATGTCGGCTTGTACTTCTCCACAGCTTACAATCGCACGTTATCTACCGCTGTCACTGCTCACTCCGACGAATAGCAGAGGATACTGGCTCGCCGCTACGTCGAGAGATAGAGAGAGAGAGAAGAGAAACGTATCGAGGAGGACAATTGATGGAGGAGGGATGATTCGGCCGAATATCGGTGAACGAAAAATATAATACACGCAAAACGAAAAATATATAGTGCGAGACGAGAGAAAGAGATTTTTTCTCGACAAAGATTCGCGTCTTGGAATAAATCGCGCGCTTCTGGAGCAATTTGTGAAAAAATCGTAAGGCGCGAGACACGCGAGAGAGGGAGACAAGGATGGAAGACGAGGCACGTGCAATCACGTGGCTTGGACTACGTGAATCATTGAATGTTCACTTCGAAGCTCGAAAGAAGGAGCTATATTTGGCGCGCAAATGAAAATATATTTGATTGAGGAAAGTGTCGACAGGTACAAGGTTACTTACAAAGATCTGAAATAATGTCCGCAATTTTCTAGTGCTTCTTAAGATCGAGTAAATGGAAAATGACGGCTTTTTCAACGCAATTGATAGACGTCTAATTCCTGAATTTTAATAATATTATAAAGGAAAAATTGTTCTCGTAGTAGAGAAAATTGGCATTTATTATATTGCAATACAAGTATGTATTTTAAATATTTAGATAGCCAACTGTCTATAAAATTGCTGTTTTGTTGCCAAGAATTGTTGACAACAGGTAATACAACATTGTTAGCAATCTGATAGCAATATATAATTAATCATAATAATTAATCAAAATAATTAATTAATTACGCTTGATTTTTTGGATAATTTATTAAATCAATATTTTGAATAAAAATCGTCAAATATTCCTAAAAATATTTCTTACATTACATAATTTTATATTTGTACGCAATATAAAAATATACATTTATTTTTATTGACGCTTTTATTAAAATATAGATAAAAATGTTGATATATATATATATATATATATATATATATATATATATATATATGCAATAGATACAAGAATTAACTTGAGGCATTGCCAGCAGGTGGCGCAATTATCGCGTGAAGTCAGGCACGAGTCATGCGGTATAACGCTACATTCACGCGGCTTTGCCGCTGACAGTTCCCATGACAGTACAGGTGCGGGCGGTGGGCTAGTGGTCGGTTACGTTTTCCACAAATAGGATAGTGTTTTCTCGACGCAAATCGGTCGAGCAAGTGATGGCGGCTCTCAAACGAATCACCAGCCTAACCCGGGCGCTGGCGACGGCGACGTCCACGTCGCGACCCTGTTTTCATCGCGCCGCGAAAAAAACCTACTTCACCTACGTGAATGAACCATCCATGCCGATCCCCGGCAAGCAGCCTTGTTGGTTGAAGACCGCCGACGAGGCTATCGAACAGGCCGAACTCGACTCAGGTAATCGATGACGGTCTGTTTGGTCAAATAAAGCGATGCGATGATATTTCACGGATTTACAGAGTTTCACGGCTGATTCCATCAATTTTAATTTAATATTATGCCACTTTCACTCTGTCAATACCATAGGTGAGATTATAACATGAATATAACACGAAAAAAGAAAGAGAAAATCGCTGAATCAGATATGCACAGCACGAATTGTTGATGCAATTAGATCTTGATCATAGGTCTACGTGACGTACGATTTTTAATAGATTTGTGTCATCATTTCGTTATGAGACTGGAAATTTTTCAATCTAGGAATTATTTGAAAATGTAATTTTGCGGATATTTTACAATATTTATGATATTTATAATCTTTATGATATTTACACTATTGTCATATTTCACTTATTTCGTCTATTGTTCCAATAAGATTTACTTTGCATAACGCTTGAGTTACATGTTGTTTAGCATTATATCTTTTTTTTCATAAATATTCATAATGAAATAACCTCTGGGGACCCTGGAGACTATTAATGTAAATGCCAGAACAGTTATGCAGATAACGTTATCAGTTGATCATCTATTTGCAAGAGCGATTTCTATTAAATTGCACTTCCTCCTAATCAAGCTGCTTATATCATCAATGTATGCGATGAGGTACTGCGGAATTTTTTATATATATTCTAGTTTTTGTAAGCATTTATACAAATTCTTGTTTTTGATTCGGAGATTTGGATGCAAATTTTAAGCAAACATTTTATAGCTTTTTATATAGAATAATTTTTTGGCTACAAATATGCGTAAAATTATGTAGACGTAATACAATTTTTATATTTATAATTATATTTACATTTTTTACATAAAAAACAAAATGTTTAAATCTTAAAATAGACGAATAATCGAATGAATTTGTGCGTTTAGCGCAAAATTTAGCTCAAGATGCTCTTATTACTTCGCTTTCATTGTGGCTGATCGATTTATATTTGGCCAACTTTCGCATCGCGTCAAGACCTCACTTGTGAAATAATTGATTGCTAGTACCAACCAGGAATATGCATATATTTATAATAAAATCGCTTTGAATTCGCGGTATTTTTCACAATTCTCTTATTGAATTATTCATAAATAAACATGTCGATAAATACGCTCAATGTTAACGATGTTATTTTTCGCGTGCATCGATATTTTGCAATATGTTTGAAAAACGATGTGGAATTTGGTAATAAACATTTTTTTTTAAATAGCATGCAAAATGATGTTTCATGTGCTTCAAATTAGTATTTGTTGCGAATTAAAATTTATGTCGCCGTTTATATTATGTGTATTATGTATAACGTATGCTTTAAAAAGATTTTATTTAATAAGTTTTTAAATTTAATAATTTAAAATCAAATTTAAAAAAATTATTTCTTAAGAGCACTACGATAAAATTTCAGAATTGTATATTTTAGATATCATTCAATATATAAATATTAAGGACATTTAATTGATAATAAAAATTAATAAGATATATTTAGAAAAATTAAAATTTTTTCAAGGATAATTAAACCTTAAGAAAATTTAATAGCCTCAAAAATATAAAATATCATTTACCAATTTTTTCTAATTTATTTTAAATTGATTTGCCATATCGAATATCTCAACATTTTTTCCTTTTTCGATTAACAAATTGAAGTAGAAATTTACTTGCATTATACAAGTATATGATATATTATATTTACACAATTACTTAATAAGATCGAAAAGATCGATTCGATACATACATCGTTTTATAATGCTGTTTTATTCATTATAAGAAATATGAGAGTCAATAAAACACTTGTTTTGCTGATAAAAGAAGCCTATAATTGACTGACGTTTTTGTTGTTAATGATATGTGATTAAGTGCAAAATGTGTCTTATATTTTTTTATACGCATTATAAAAAAAAACATAGAAAAATAAATTTATATAAATCAATATGTAGCTTAAAATTTATTTATATGTAACCTAATTTTTATAGAAAGAAATTCTTAAAAAAACTTATATAAATGCAAGCTATGTAAAATTAATTCATTATTCATCCATGACACCGGTTGTCGTCCTTCTGGCATATGGTGCTTTGTGGAATGATGTAAAATGTCCTTGTCATTCTTAATGTCTCGTCTAATGATTCCCGTAAAGTTAAATAAGCTTTCTAATCTTATCTTTGAAATTGCCTTACCATACTTCTCATTACTAAATTTATAAGTGTGTTCCTCGTTTCGCTTGAGCAATTTTATAATACGCTTTTTAGATAGGACTGATAAAAAAAATTCACAGTTGTGCAGATGATATCAAACGAGCAGATAACTAACATTGACCTCGATACGTGAATCTACAAACATATATATACATATACGTATCATAAAATCTAGCTCTCGTTTAAATATAGTCCACCACTATTAACAACTAAAAATTTGCCAACACACTAAATTAGATTTAGGATGAAGATTTTTTTATGTAAATATTTTTCTTGCGTTAAATTCTTTTCTGATATTGACGCTTGCAGTATTTTATATAAAAAAATTGTATATGTACTTTTTATACGAATTAATTTGTTATTTTTATATTCAATTTTTGAATTTTTTTTATGACGCTCTTAATAAATTCGTGTATTATTTTGTAGTTACAATGTATGTGTTATTTTGTAGTTACAATGTATTGTATAGTATGGATATGAGAGATGTAATATCATATGACGATCACATAACATATTGTATGTAACGATCACGTTTCGTCAATAAGATAAATCGCAGACTAAAAATATCTTCTATTACACGGGATAATACAAAAAAAAAAATATATATATATATAATGTTCGCGCTTACAATAATTTCTATATATTATTCTAGATTTTAAAAATGCCATTTTAGAAATTATATATGGCGTTTTTTAAACTATTTCTTTAGTCATATTATGCGAATTGAAAGAGCAATTACTATTAAAGTTAGAATTATAGTTATAAAATGAATAATATAAAAATCGCTATTTTAGAACATTTATTTGATCATGGTAATAATTATTGTACGTTTATGTTTATATATGTCTTCATTTGATAATAATAATGTAATAATGTAGTAATATTTATGTTCCTCGTGCCTAATAAGAATTCTTTAGAATAAGATTTCTTTTTGTTTAATAAGATAAAATGCATACGATAAGAGCAGCATTCGCTAATTAAAATTGATTAAATAGATGTATTTTCTCGCATATAGATAACTCTAACACTTCGTAATTGCTGCCTATAAAATTTTTTGGAATTTTATTTTAAGCTAGATAAAAATGTATTAAACAAAAATGCATTTTCTGGCCTAAAATAAAATTTAGATATGATAAGTGAATGAGATAAATATTATCGAGATACAAATTTCTTAATATTTACATAAGATATCATTGTGATAAGTCATGTAAATATTAGGCAACGTTTTCTGCAATATGTTATTGTCATGTTCTACAAAGTACAAAGTACAAAGTTTTCTTTTATGAATTATGTATTAGGTTCTTATCAGCACAGTAAAAAAAATAATTTCTTGGTTCTTGACTTTTGTAATTGCATATCATTACATGTATAAATAATATCCGAATAATAATATAGTCACAAACATAATACAAACGTAAATATAATAATATTTTGAATAAAATTAATTATTCGTCATATGATTTATCGCAAAGATGTAATTGAAAAGACGTTATTGTTATTGCTATATATAAATCGCAATAGCATTAAAATTATGTTAAATTATAGTAAAAATAAACAATTTAACTCATCTTTTCTTATATAAATGTCACAAGAAAAGACTGATAAAAAATTTATTCTTGGAATAGGAATGAGAAAAAACTTTTCTTCAGAAGGTTTAAACCTAACGTATGCAAATAGATTACAAAATTTTTTTATTCTGTTTAATTTTAATATTAATTTATCTCGAATAATTCTTTTTTAATCTTCGATTTATTATATATTTGCAGATCAGCTGGTGTATGTCCAGGGTGCTGCAGCGACACCCGTTGAATCATTAAGAGCGATGACCGACTACGGGGTACGATGTGATGTGAGGAATGTCCGTTTATATCACATGCATCTCGAAGGAGCGGCTCCGTTCGCTAAACCAGAATATGCAAGTACGTTACGGTGTACATACGTCGACGTAATTTTCTCTTTCAAAATATCTGAATAACAACTCGTCATATGTTGCATATTGTTCTCGCGCTCTTTTGCGCCGCATGACTCGCTTCCAACTTTGTCTCTATTTTAAGAATCTATTTTACATAATTTGTTCTCTATAGAAAATTATAATTATTGTATTTAAATTATTTGTCTTTTAGTTGTAAAAGTTTTTAATTATATTTTAACAAAAGTTTAATTTGCGAGATACGTGTTAAAAAAATTGCATTTTTTCTAAAAAAATTAGTTAAAATTAATTATGAAAGAAAATCCAAGAAAAGCTGATATTATTTGTTTTTTTCACAAATGTGTATATCTTATAATATGTTTGCATATTCAGAACATTTCAGATCTATCAGCTTGTTCATTGGCGGTAATGTACGAGCCGCGGTGAATGCAGGCACCGCCGACTGCATTCCTATTTTCCTGCACGAAATCCCGCGTCTCTTCAAAGAAGGTTACCTGAAGCCCCATATTTCGCTCATCCACGTTTCTCCGCCAGACGAGAAGGGTTACTGCTCTCTTGGTACCAGCATAGATTCTGTTCGGTCCGCCGTGAGTCATTCCAAATGTATCGTAGGTAAATCTCGGAAACCTCGCGAATACTTCGCTTTTCTTCATATAAAGGCAGAATTTAAAGAGAGAATAATTTTTTGCAGCTTTAGTCAATAAGTATATGCCTAGGACTTTTGGTGATGCTATTATTCACGAAAGCCATTTGGACTTTGCTGTGGAACATCATCAACCATTACCGGTTCATCCGGTGACGACACCGAGTAAGGCTGAACAGCAGATCGGCAAGTATATCGCTGAGAACCTGGTAGTGGATGGTGCCACATTACAACTGGGTATTGGCAGTATACCCGACGCTGTACTATCATTGTTGGCCAATCATAAAGATCTGGGAATTCACAGCGAGATGTTCAGTGATGGCGTAGTGGACCTCGTGAACAAAGGCTGTATCACAAATAATCAAAAGACGATGCATCGGGGCCGGATTGTCGGTTCGTTTTGTGTGGGCTCGGAAAAACTTTACGATTTCATGCACAATAATCCTTTCATAGGTCAGTTTGCGTCCGCATTTATCATGTCTTTGAAATTATTATTGAAATTCATATCAGTAATCTTAACTTTCTTCTTTAATGACTTATTTTTTACTTGTTTTTAACAGAAATGTTGGTCGTGGATTATGTTAATGATCCTAGAATAGTTGCCCAACAACCAAAAATGACGGCCATCAACTCGTGTATCGAAGTGGACATTACCGGTCAGATCTGCTCGGACAGTATTGGTACGAAAATGTATTCCGGTTTCGGTGGACAACTGGATTTCATTACGGGTGCTGCGATGAGCGAGGATCGACAAGGAAAGCCGATTATAGCTCTTAAGTCGGTCACCTCTAAAGGTCAGAGCAAGATACAACCAGTTTTAACATCAGGTAAGTAGATAAATATCCAAATGATTTCTGTTATTCATAATTCCATGAGTTCCACAATTGAACGATTGATGCAATAAAAATGTAATTGTATAAAGTGAAATGATGCCATTATAATCGGATTTTATTATATGGCAACTTTTGAAGTTATTGCTTAATAAGTATATTATGCTGAAATATACACAAGAAGTCTATAATGTAGATCGTTATAATAGTATATTAGTGATTTAACATATTATAAAACTTAGTAAGCTTTTTAATTTAAACATGAATTCGTATCAAATGAGATTTTGGATTAATTCGTTTGTGTAGTGATCCAATACGTTCGCTATATTATTTTACATTATATTAACAGGTGCTGGAGTAGTTACTAACAGAGCGGTGGCGCGATATGTCGTGACCGAACATGGCATCGCCAGTTTGTTTGGCAAAAGTCTTCAGCAACGAGCGTACGAATTAATCCAAGTGGCTCATCCAGATCATAGAGAAGCGCTCGAGAAGTCGGCATTTGAACGTTTGAAAATGATGCCTGCGCCATAAAATAAAGCAGAAAATAAAGCAGAAAAATCATATTCAATAGCATTTTACAATGGGTCGTTTGCGTGTTCTAGTCACGTGTACAATGACCAACAGTCGAAGAGTCACGTAGTGTCTTCTTCTTATACGATATATGCGCTCTCTTACCAGAAGACAATTCGTCGGCCTCTTCCTAAAATAAAAGAAATGGAGAATAATGTGCTAATTAACTAGATTGAGAATTTAAGATGCTAAATTGTAACATTACGTATATATAAGAAGAATTCATAATGCGATCGGTTGCATTCGTATACATAAATATTAATTAAGTCATACACATATATTTTATATTACCAGAGAGAAAAAAACACGCGCTTTAGACAAATAAAAAATAGCATTACGTAGTGCCATTATGAAATGTGTAAGCATTTTTTATATTAAATCTATCAATGTTTCTTTGTATAATTTCCCGTATTTTACTATTGTAACGACGAGTTCTTGAAATACGAATATGCATAAAAATATATAGATATAAAATAAGAACTGATACTGTTGATATTTCATTGTGCACGATATCTTCGATATATTTTCTTTCTTTTAAAAGAAATAGTTAGAGTGTACTTGTATTTATATATTTATATTTTTGAAATATATTCGAATTATGAATATATTACAAAAATTCAAATCGATAGTACATCCGCCAATTTATATAAATATTATCTCGAAAAATCGAACGCTGCCAAATTAGATGTTCAAATGTATGGAGTGTGGAGATGGTAACCGATTCGTATCGTTTGACGTATACGGTCAACGAGATCTCTTTTTTTTTATTATGTGTCACGTAAATTTTTATACGATCATTATACATTTATTGCCGTATCATCAATAAAAGCTTGTCAAATTTGGTGTTGTCAGTTTCGGAACAATGAAAAAATGTTCCGAAGTCTGAGATTAGTCTTCGGCAAAATTCAACAAAATACGACAAAACCTTTCCATTTATGCGGACAGCGATACTTGCAAAGTTTGAGGGAACCCTCTCAACCGTTAAAACGATGTCCAAAATGGGTTTGCGTGGAAGATGCGGTAAAAATCATAAATTCAGGTATTTATTACAGCTCTATTATAGTTTAATAGACCGATATTTAAACTCTCTGTACTTTCTATTGAAAAAATATAATTGGTTCATAAATTTTTTAATCAATTCAACTTAATTAAGAAAAAAAGAATATATAATGTTTTTAACTTAACTCAATTTTTTTCTTATTTTCTAATATGTGAATAAATAATAGCTTAAAATATTTTTCTAAAGATATCGCACCTGTAATATATATATATATATATATATATATATGAGAAAATTTCAAAAAGCAAAATAATTTTTTCATTAAATACTTAACGAATATAAATCATTATTATGAATGTACATATTACTGCAAAGATTCTCTTTACAAATCATCTCTCTTTCCAGAACATTTGGTTTTCATACAAGGTGGTGCGGCCACGCCGACGGAGCTCGTGCGTGCCATGACCGAGCACGGGGTATGTAACAATTTGCGGGGTGTCAGGTTGTTGCATATGAGCCTCGAGGGAGATACACCGTTCGCCAACCCCGAATTTGAGAGTACGGTATTCGTATAATAGCCGTAATCTCCATTTCACGATATCTGATGATGGAAAATAATATCCTACGACGATGTTACATTAAAGAGCACTTCAGGTCCATCAGCCTGTATGTGGGTACTAATCTCAGGGAGGCGGTGAACGAGGGGCGGGCGGATTGTATCCCGGTATTTTTACACGAAGTGCCGAGGCTGTTTTATGAGAAGAGAATCGTGCCGGACATCGCGCTGATCCATGTGAGCATGCCGGACGCACGTGGATTCTGTTCACTCGGCGTCAGCGCGGATTGCACCCGCGCCGCGATTTGCACCGCCAAAGTTCTCATCGGTATCGAATCATTTATCATATAATAACGATAATTAAGATATAGATAGATGACGATATTAAAATAACAAGATGAATACTTTCCTGACACATCTATCGGTCAGCGATAATTTTAAAAGTGTCATTTAATAAAATAATTTCTTACATATATAATCGTAAAACTGCAATATTAAATTATTAAAAGGATGTTTTTCCTTTTCCAGCGCAAGTAAACGAGCACATGCCAAGATCCTTCGGCGACACAGTGATCCACTCGAGCCATTTTGACTGGGCAGTGAGATATGATTGTCCTTTAGCTTGCGTGGTCTGTCCACCGCCGAATGATCTCGAGGTCGAAATTGGCAAAATCATCGCGCAGCGTTTGATCGAGGATGGAGCGACGTTGCAGCTCGGCATCGGTAATATTCCCGACGCCGTGCTCTGCGCCCTAGTCAATCACAAGGATTTAGGAATACACTCGGAAATTCTTTGCGATGCGATGGTTGATCTTGTCGAGCACGGCAACATTACAAACAAGTGTAAGATCAAGCATAGAGGACGTATGGTTGGTTCTTTCGGAATTGGCTCAAAACGATTATACGACTTTTTGCACAACAATCCGTTTATCGGTAATTATGACAATAGGCTTATCTTGATTGAAAGGAGACGTTCCTGCATTATTTTGTAATTGTAATTGTATCATCTCGTCGCTAGAGATGTTAGCGCTCAATTATGTGAACGATCCCCGAGTGATTTCGATGCAGCCAAAGATGACGGCTATTAACTCTTGCATCGAGATGGACCTTACTGGCCAGGTGTGTTCGGACAGTTTAGGCTGTAAGATGTATTCCGGTTTCGGCGGCCAGTTGGATTTTCTTCGAGGCGCGGCGATTAGTCAGGACGGTCGTGGAAAGGCCATCATCGCGTTTCCCTCAGTTACCAGCACAGGAGAGAGTAAAATACAACCAGTGCTTAAACTCGGTACGGTCGAGATTAGATTAAAACTATCGTTGCGAATAAATTTTATCTTAGTAATACAATTTAGTAACATAATTTAATCAATTATTAATTGATAAAATTATTTAATTATTTGATAAATAATTATTATAATAATTATAATAATAAATAAATTTTATCAGTTTATTGATAAATAATTATTTATCAATAAATCGATAAAATTTATTTATTTGTTTGATAAAATTTTGATATGTCGTCGAATCTATTACAGGAGCCGGAGTGGTGGTTACAAGAGCTCACACACATTACATAGTCACGGAACATGGAGTGGCCGATCTTTTCGGTAAAACCTTACGACAAAGGGCGAATGCATTGATTCAAATTGCGCATCCCGATCATAGAGAATGCCTCGAAAAGGCTGCGTTTGATCGTTTGAAATCTAATCCAACAAAATATCTGTAACGTTTGTGATATGTAAATATATTTGAATTATGTGATAGCTTAAATCTATTGTATTAAATTCATACATAAGAAAAGTAGAAAGCATGTATTTTAATTTAAGTTGAAAATTAATTATATATAAATATTCCGCGTCCAAAAATTAAAGATAAATACATATATTAATTTTTTTCAATATTAGATTGTTTAAATGAATCAAATGAATTAAAATAATAAATTACTTTTGAAACGTAACAAGCATCCTAAATTAAATAAGTTTATGAAGAAATAATGAATATATTTTGATGAGAAAACTTTTATTGTATTATAAATTAATAAGTCTTATTCTTTGTGATGTATTTTTGTCAAAAGTTCTTTAAAAATATACATATATTACAGCACAAAAATATTTGTTACTTCTTATATGTTATATGACTATAACTTTGTTACATGACTGATACTATATCAATCTTGATAATTTAAATACTTTATTTATAAAGTATTTAATTTATAAAAAATAAATAAAGTAAAACATATCTTATCTATAAGAAATAAGTAAAACATGTTAGAAGTCTATACCTTCCGGCAGAGTTCCCTCTTTTCTTCTCTTCTCGACATTTTCGTAATACTCCGAGAAATCTACGTAAGGCTTGATTCTGGCGTTTCGTTCCGTTATTCTGGCACCAGGCGGATACATGTCCGATGTCGTTGATGTTTCAGTCGTTGATGAGTCAAAGTTTTCGTCGGTGATGCCAGTGCTGGTACTCGAGAGATCTTCGTCTGGTATACTGATCGGCGCGGTCTGCACCACGGGATTGAATCTAACAGATTGACCAGTGGGACTCTTTAGGGCGTGCGACAGTGGGAAGTTGAAATTTCGCACCAGAAGAGTAATGTCGTCGCGTTTACTGGTGATCATGGTGTTTTGCGTGTTGCTCATATTCACATCATGGTGAATTCTCACAACCTTATCGACGACCGCTTGAGCGACGCCGGTTAAAGTTGATTGTACTCGAAACTAAGGCAAGCAAAGAGAAGTGACATTGTACATGGAAACTTCTTAATCTAACATTATTTAAGTCAAAGTATATTACCTGTTCGACGGCTATCAAAGCTAATTCCTTATTGACTTGATCGGTACCGGTCGCTTCCTCCAATGACTTGTATAAGCCGCGTGACATGAGCAATAGAAATCTACAAGAATCGTCCAGTTCGATACTACCATGAATCTCTGGTTCGGCGATGATCGGTTCCGCTATGGAAGCTGCTAACTCCTCAAATTCTCTGTATCCTCCCTTGACAAGGTAGTTGCCAAGACAGCGCGTATTTTCCTGATTTCCAAGATGAGAACCTGAGATATTCTTATTTATTGGAATATCTTTTTAACATAAATAACATAAATAACATAAATAAATGCTAGCAAATGAGATATACCTTGTCTGATTGATTCGACATCCAAGCCTAGTTGAGATAATCGTAAAAGCTCATCTTCGTTCCTCAAGTCATGATCTACGCTTAATTGTACGACTCGTAAAACTTGATTGCTGTCTGTTTTGCACAACAGTGCTCTACTATCGCCAACATTCGCAACGTACAATTTTCCTCTATAAACCAAGGCAACTACAGCACTGGTCCCAGCTGATAATTCGCAATTTAGTGCATTTAGCTTGTTAACCTGAAAAAAAATATATATATACATTTGAAAAAAAAGGAAAATATAGTTCTATAATTTTATATATTTTGCAACTAACTAGATCTGGAAATTTTTGATAAGTCTCATAAGAGTTCAGTCCATCGGGTAGATCAAATTGTAGACTAGCCCGTTCTGCTAATAAATCACCAATTGATTCCAGATACCCTTTTTCAACTGCTATGAAAGCCTGTCTGCAAAATAAACACCTTGCATGCAGATAATTTATAACTTTATATACATATATATAAATAAAACTGTAATATGTTTAGAATTTTTGCATAATTAATGTATTTAAATTGTTTCAGTATAAAATATGCATAAAATTTGCATGAAATTTGCTTTTTGTATGATATATTACATTGGTAGGATTCTTACCGAAGAACTTCCTTCACTTCCTCATCACTTGATTTGCCGTTCAATTGTCCGAGCAGAATTTCTGCAGCCACTCTTTGCATAGCAAAATTGGCTGCCTTAGTGCCTTCGTGACCATCAAATACTGCATAAAGAAATGTGGAGTCATCATATCTGCAATGAAAGCTACGATCCTCAAATGGATGCTCTTCTTGTCGATATCCACTTTCTCGATAGATTTGATTAGTAGAAAAACCTACTCCTGAAATATCATTGAATTTTAATAACTTTTATATATTAGACTATATATTTATGTCATTATACTTTAATATATATTCATCAAATTATAATAAATTTTCAATGTTGTAAAGTGTCAAATATAAAAAAATTTATTATTGAAAGATTTATTTATTTTTGAAAGATTTATTTATTGTTGTAATTTAATCAATTAAAAAATATATTCCTTATTACATATATATATAAATATTTTTTTTCAAAAAATTAATTCTGTCGATAATGTTAATGTTTCTAAATATTGATTCTAGATCATCAAAATAATGAACTATAAAAATGTACCGGATTGTTTGCAGACGGGCAAATCATCCGTCCAGTTATACTGACTATCTTGAAAGAGCATCGGAGCTGGTCGTTCTGCTCCCACAGACATTATTTCTTCCCACTTCGATTAGTAATCAATGAAACTTGATAAACAACTATTTTGCATCATCTTGGAAACATCGAACGAATTAAAGCAGCGAGAAACTTGTCCAAAAATACACATATACGACGCGATCAACGCGAGAGAAGAAGCTTCGTTTTCCACGGATTTCCGCGAATCTTGTCCTGTGATAGACACAGACTTCCACACAGTGAAAAAATGAATAAACAATAAGAAATCTTGGAAGAAACGAGATAACCTCTAGATTCTTTCTATAGCAGCCAGTTCAGCTAAAAAAAAACTTAATAGTGGACTCAATAGTTAATAGTAGATTATCGGCTCTCCAATGGATAACAACGAGCTTCCAATGAAGGTTAGTTAACCTAAATACATTTTGTCAACTCAAGTTTATTTTTTTATAATATATGCTATTTCATATTAAATTTTAATATATATTTAATATATATATTTTAATATATGTATATATATATATTTAAAAAATATATTTAAAAAGTATATATATATATTTGAAAAACAATATATATATATACTTTTTGTGGTCACTATATATCCGTACTTATATTGAACAATTATTTCTGATACAGCGATATAGAAGAGAGGAAGAAGAAGGGAGTTCTAATACAGATGATGATTACGTACCATATGTATCTGTTAAACACCGTAAAAAGCAATTGCTTGCAAAATTGGGCAAACTTGGAGAATTGAAAGAAGAAGCTACCAATGGTGTTGGAAAGAGTAGCAGCGAGAATGAAAAAGATGATGCTGATAATGATGATGGACAAGTTTGGGGGAGAAAATCTAACATTTCTCTTCTTGACCAACATACCGAATTAAAGAAATTGGCTGAAGGTGTGTAACCTATTAATAAAATACATAAAGCAAAGAATAATATAATCTAATTTAAGGACATTGTTTTGTAAAACTCTTATTGTAATATTTTAGCCAAAAAGGAGAGTGCTATGGAAAAGCAATTGAAGGAAGAAGAGAAAATTCTAGAAAGCGTTGCTGAGAATAAAGCTTTAATGGGTGTGGCTGAATTAGCCAAGGGTATTCAATATAAAGATCCTATCAAGACCAATTGGCAACCACCGCGAATAATACTCAGCTTTGGCGAGGCACGTCATGAAAGAGTACGAAGGAAACTTAGGATACTTGTGGAGGGTGATGAAGTACCACCACCTTTAAAGACTTTTAAGGAAATGAAATTTCACAAGGGGATCTTGTATGGATTAGAACAAAAAGGCATTATCAAGCCAACTCCAATTCAAGTTCAAGGAATACCTACAGTGTTAGTCTTCATGTTTCAATTAATTCATTTGCAATGATATTGATAATCATGTCAATGAATTATATAATATATTGAGCAGAAAGTACAAATATTATGTAATTACAGGTTGTCTGGTCGTGACATGATTGGTATAGCTTCCACTGGTAGTGGTAAAACATTAGTGTTTGTTTTACCTATCATTGAATTTTGCCTGGAACAAGAAATCGACATGCCATTCATTAAGAAAGAGGGACCTTATGGTAAACATTTATGACAGTAAATAGGTAGAGTGATATTTAATTGACAAATATCAATACTCCACATATATATCACAAATATCATGTACAATATACAATATTCTTATATTAATATTAATATTTTTCGATTTATAGGCTTGATAATATGTCCTTCAAGGGAATTAGCTAAACAAACCTATGACATAATTCGACATTACACCAATAGCTTAAGACAAGTGGACTGTCCGGAAATACGTTGCTGCTTGGCGATTGGAGGTGTACCGGTTTCGGAATCATTAGCTATAATCAACAAGTTAATATTTTTTTATTGTTATTTAATTTTCGATATTTCTATTTCTAATATATGCATGCCACATAAAAATTTATAACATAAATTCTATAACAGAAATTCTACATTTTATAGAGGCGTGCACATAATGGTAGCGACACCGGGGCGACTGATGGATATGTTACATAAAAAGATGGTCACTTTAAGTGTATGCCGTTACCTTTGCATGGACGAGGCAGATCGCATGATAGATATGGGATTTGAGGAGGATGTGCGGACCATATTTTCATTCTTCAGAGTAATTATTATTTATCTCAATATTTATGCGACAAGCGAAAAAATATCAAATATTTTTATTTATTACAATAATAAAAATTATCTATAAATTGCATGTTATAGGGACAAAGGCAAACGTTGTTGTTCTCTGCTACTATGCCAAAAAGAATTCAAAATTTTGCGCGTTCGGCGTTAGTAAAACCTGTGACAATAAATGTCGGTCGTGCCGGTGCTGCATCAATGAACGTAATACAGGAAGTAGAATATGTTAAACAAGAGGCAAAAATTGTTTACCTCTTAGAATGCCTTCAGAAGACTGCGCCACCAGTTTTAATATTCGCGGAGAAGAAGCGCGATGTGGACGCTATTCATGAATATCTGCTCATAAAAGGAGTGGAAGCTGTCGCGATACACGGAGGAATAGGTAATTATAAATATATTTCACGAATAAAGAATATTTTTTTAACCATAACATATAATCTAAAATTATTGGATATATTATAAACATTAATATTTATAATTTTATGTCATGCAATATAGTTTTATGATGAAAAATATGGTAGAATTACGAAATAAATCGTATTAATATTTCGAAAAAATATTTAAATATGTTAAATATATCTTTCTTATTTATTTTTTATTAAACTCTTAGATCAAGAAGAAAGATCACGTTCGGTAGAAGCGTTTCGTGGAGGCCGAAAAGATGTACTTGTGGCGACAGACGTCGCATCAAAAGGTCTTGATTTCGCCGATGTGCAACACGTTATCAATTATGATATGCCGGATGATGTAGAAAATTATGGTAATATATTGTGATACATAAAATATAATATCGAATAAATAAAATATGAGATAAATATTTAATGTATTATATATTTTTAGTGCACAGGATAGGACGAACCGGTCGTTCTGGACGTACCGGTATAGCGACGACTTTTATCAATAAAGCGAACGATGAGTCAGTATTACTTGATCTTAAACATCTATTGATGGAAGCAAAGCAAAAGGTGCCACCATTCTTGTTGGAGCTTTGCTCAGAAAACGAAAAATATCTGAACCTTGGAGGTAAGATAATATTCAGCAATTTATCTATCTTTTACTTGATGTTTATTTCCTCTTTTGTTACTATTTATATTCTATTTATATTCCTCGTTACTATTTATATTCTTGCAAATTTTAATATTTTTCTTGTTTTATTGCAGACGAACGCGGTTGCAGTTATTGCGGCGGGCTCGGACACAGAATTACAGAGTGTCCGAAACTGGAAGCTGTGCAGAACAAACAGGCGTCCAATATCGGACGTCGCGATTATCTGGCCAGCAATGCTGCTGATTATTAAACAGCACGTCTTAAATAAAACAGTTTCTATGGCCGGTATTCATAGTCCGATCTTATATTTAAGATTGTCTTAAGTCTGGTCCGAAGTTGACTTAAGACCTCATTCAACCAATCAAATAGCTGCGTAGCATTTCAAGCTCGAACTTAAGACGATCTCAAATATAAGATCGGACTATGAATACCGGCCTATGTATTCATTGTAAATATATATATGTAAAAGCTCATTTCTACGATAATAAATGTGTTTTAGTTAGAATAGTCAAAGTAAGAAATATATTTCAAAAATATTAAATAAAATAAATATTTCAATTAAACATTATAAATTCCCAATCACTCTAAAAATTAAATGTTAGTATATAAATAGTAGAAAAAAAGATTTTCTTGCCAACTTCAGAGATTCGTTCCTTTCGACTAATTCATAAGAGCGAAACAAAAGCTGCCACATCTGTCATCGGTGACTTTTTCAAATTCTTCAAGCTTGACATAATTCAAAATTCCTGTTAATAATGACGAATTAATCTAACCTGGCCTTAATTAAGAGCCGGGCATACTCCAGAATGGGCTATTAAGATCACAGTTTTTGAAAAATGAAAAAGTACTGGATCCATTATTCGAGCGCCAAGGAAAATCGTCGCATCGATCGAAAAAGTTTATTCTTCAGAGATTTTAGAAAATACATTTTTAAAAGGTTCTTTATGCTTTTTTAAAAATCATTTATCCTGGTCATTATTTATTTTGGCTTATTTTCTGAAATTACCTTAAACTATTTGAGAAATATTAGTGCAAAGTGTGTCATAAGTTTTAATCATCGTTTCTATTGTTAATACATATTATATATCAATTTAGCGCAATATATCAAAACGCGTTCAATTTTTTATATCGCATTCTTGATAAACATTCAGTTACTTTGCAGTTATCAGGTGCCAAAAAATTATCACTCAATGCTTTTATTAAAAAAAAATTTGTCAAGGATTCTTCTCTATTATCAAAATAATGACGGTTAATAGAGAGAAATATGACGATTGTATATTATATTTTTATTGTAAAATAACATTTTAATAAATTGAAATTAAAAATAATTGTATATTACGTATTAATTTTATTAAATGTCAAGAATTACCTGATATTAACGACGATGGCGAGCCGGCCGCGACTCACGAAGACCGAGGCACTAAGACAGGCGAGGAGTGCTGCTTTGATGAAAGAGATTGAGCGGAAAGAGGAAGCGAAGAGGCAGCCAGAGCCTGTCATAGATCCAGGCAGAAGACGTAGATATATCCCAGCTGAACCGAAAAAGGTCGAGTTCACCAGACCGGCCATGACGAAAGCGATGATAGCACGGGTGAAACAGGCGGAGAAGTTCAAGCAAGAGTACGAGCGTAAGCGTGAAGAAACGATTCCGACGCGAAGGATGCCGAGGAGGACACCCGCGCCGGTCGGCGGTGATCCTAGGTGAATTTTCAAAATTATACATTATCTTTGCGTTATTTAAGATCTTTAAAATCCATCTGGAATGGTCATTTATCTTGCGCGTTATAAACATAATTGGAGCAAATTTGCAAACATTTAGTATCTTAAACATTTTACAATTTTTCATATATTTATTTTACCTACTTAGGTTTGGTAGAGAGAGAGTTCCACCCGCGAGACGGGCTCCGTCTCCGCCTGTCAGGCCGGCGAGAAGACCTATGCCGATGGAGAGGAGAGTCGCACCGGATAGACGACCGCCGGAACGACTTCCCGCTATTCCCGAAAGAACCAGAGAATTGGCGAGGTCCATGAATGCTCAGGTGATCCAGGCCGAACCGGTTGGCGAGGGTCCGATCGACAGTGTCGTGATACCGCCGAGGTCGGTCAATGAAAATCGCACCACTATTGTCAGCATCCCGCAACCGCCTGCGGCCGAGGTGCCGATATCCGAAGTGGCGAACCGTTCGGTCAAAGTGATTAGGTGACTTTATTTCCATGGAATTGAAGAGTTTTGGACTCTTTTTTTTAGTTTAAATATAAAGAAAATGTAAAATATATAAAAGAATTTATTTCGAGATATATTTCAATATTTTCTCAAGAATCGATATCACATACTTTTAATTAGTTCAAAAAACAAGCATGTCTATTGATGCTAAATTTTTGATTTAAATATTAAGAAGTTTATTCCTTCTAGATAATTTATATATATATATATATATATATATATATATATATTTAATTATTTATTTCTTGTGTAAAATAATAACATAACATGTTAATGGAAAATATTGTTCAATAGCGAGAGTCTTGACGAGCAAGATGCAGCAGAAGCGGCTACGGTCCAGGGCAAGCTGGAGGACTTGCAACAAGCGAGACGAGACTTCGTGATGGCAGTGGCAAATGTCGGTGGTAACGCTGTGCAACTTACGGAGGAAGAGAGGCCTAGATACATATACAGGTTAAAATATTTTGAAAAAGAGAAAAGATAAAAAATTACAATTTTTTACATTGAAACATGTAATCAATATAAAGTAACGTAAATCAATATTAATCTTGAATTAAATTTAGTCAATTTTTGAAAGACGATAAATTGAAATTTAAAAAATTAATTAATTACAGGAAATTTAAAATAATTAATGTCAAGAAACTCTCTATTCATTTATAATACCGATATAAAAATTAATGAAAATAAGAGAGAAATTTTCCGAAAATGCGTTTACTGCTTTTCTAGATAGTTAAAGAGTTAGTCTTAAAATTGAAAATAATATCCTATTTAATGCAGAGTCCCCGATATTGAGAGCGAAATGTTCCGTATCGAATATGGCCGGGAACATCCAAGTATCGTAGCGGCCCGTGAATTCGCTCAAAGGAGCATGGCCGGTATCAGGGCGCGCGAGGCAGCTCGCAGAACCGAACAAGAGTTCGAAAGAGTCGCTAGGGAGCCGTTACCGGAAGATCTACGCTTTGATGTGCCATTCGAAGAGGAGTTCTTACGCGAGGATGACATATCCTGGGAAGAGGAAGAGGATATTCCGGTCGTGTCCAGGATAAAAACTAGTATGCGCGATATACCGAGGCGCGAGGTGCCTTACAGATATCCTACTTTCGATCCAGAGGAGCTTGAAAGGTTCTTTGATGTGGAACGATATCCATCGAGTCCGCCACGTGGACCACCACCAGGTCGCGAGCATTTGCCACCTGATCTTTGGGAACTGGAGGATCCTTGGGCCACATGCGGAGTTTGTCCACAACAAGATGTATCTGATCTCATCCGTTTCGAGAGTCCTTAATTCAGGACGTATCTTCATCTGCAGACATGTTTTCGTCTCCGAGATTCTGAGCTATTTGAGAGAAGAGAATGGTACGTTCGAATTCTTAAATAGATGAGAAGAGATTTTTTTCTTTTGCGAATATATTATATTTTATTGGAACAATTTTTTGCAGAAACACAAAAGAGGAGAGTCTTGAGGAAAAGACAATTGAGTGCCAAAATGTTTGCAAAAACGCAAGAAATTTTTCATCACCCTTCAGTTCCTTTTTTAATATGATATTTTCCCACATCATATGTGATATTTTATTATTAAAATCAGTACCTGTATATATATTCAAGTAATCTGTATAATATTGATATTTCTAAATAGTATAACTGATTGTGAGTATATCTTCCGCCAAAATTAATTTTTTCTAAGTAAATTTTACTTCTTTAATTCGTTATTTCCTAGCTTCAAAAATATATTCGAACATCAGAAATGTTTCAAATTGACTGAAAAAGACTCTGCAAATAAAAGAGAGATAATCATCGTAAAGCCAGAAAATCAGTGCGTGTTTTTAACGTTATTATTTTTGCCCTCAAGTTTCTGCTGATTTTACACTATACTTATTGTAACCCACTATTCCACAATAAGATCCAACATTATGTTATTTCATAGATTGGAAAAGTGATGGGAAAAGTGATTCAATTTTGAGCAGTAGATATACATAGATGTTATTAGATGTTTTAGTATACGATCATTGAAACGATTTTTGAAGGCTGTTATTAAATGGCTGTCTCGATCATTTTCCTTGAGAATGTTAAATGATACACTCTATCTCATCTACTCTCATCAGTGAAATGATATATCGACGCTGACCATGTGATCACATGACATCCCATAATTTCTTTCTTGCGCAGCTACTTATATATCAAAGAATCGGATAGCATATGCGCGACACGTGTCATTATATGGCGATCTTTCGATCGAGAAATAAGTTCCATCATGCTAGCGAACTTTTTGCGAGAATATAATATCAACCGACTATTCTTGTCAATCACAGGTCTTTGGCCATTCCAAAATAAGCTCGCGAGAAATTCATTGCAGACTTTCTGCTTTCTAGTCGAAATAAGTTACTGTCCGTTCGAGGTAATGCGATCGACAACTTTTTAATCTGAGATTTTTTAAATGTTTATTTTAAAAATTTTTATCAAGCTAAAATATTGTCTATTATTATACATTATGTAGTGCGTATTTTTATCATGAAATATTTTTACAATATATTTTTGTTATAAAATATTATCAAAATATATTTTGAGATGTTTGATTCTTAATTGATCGAATAAAATGATGATAATTTTTTATATATAATTGGTCACGTACGAATTTTAGGTATTGTATATTTTAATATATTTTATTGAATATTTTATATATTTTATGGATATATAATATTATATACATATAGATATTATTAATATACGATCATTGGAACGATATGCAAACAATTTTTGAAGGCTGTTATCAAATGGCCGTCTCGGGCACTTTCCTTGTGAGAATGGCAAATGAGTTCTTTAACCATGACAAGGTATAACGTTATTAGAATTACAAAGTGTCACTATTTTTTAATTTTTTAAAAATGTTTTTTCATATTTAATTAAATCGATTTTTCATTGTCGCGATCAGTTGCGACGATTATATGAGATCATCGATGAGCATTGGGACATTTTTACGAGTGATATAGAAGTTCAAGTTTTGAAAGACTATTCTACGTTAGCGCGAAAATTTACGAAATACTATTCGAGTGAGTATAAAGTAATATGTGATAATATTGTTAGAGCAATGTATTACCTGCTGATAGAAAATGTATGATGTAATATTAAAAAGTTCATGATTTTAGTAAAATAAAATTAAGATGTCAAGATATTTTCTAAAAATTTGCATACTGTATGAAATTAATAATATTTAATAAAATCATGTATCTCGTTCTAATCTAGTTAAAAAGCCGATAATAGTTTCTCTTGTAAATTGATATTATTGAATAAGCAACTTATTTTTCTTCTGATATTACAGTAATGATGTATTTTTTGACATCGGGATTTGTAATAATACCGGTGTTTTTGGATATTGTGCTGCCTCTTAACAAGTCACGTCCGCGATTTCTTGCGATTGAAGTTGAATTTAGAATAAATAAAGACGAGTACTTTCTACCAATTTTCTGTTACACTACCGCTGTAATTATAGTGGGCATGAATATTGTAGTGAGTGTTGACGCGATGCATATCACGTGTACCTCTCATGCATGCAGTTTATTTGCGGCTGTTAGGTAGGTACCGCAAATAAAATTTTACATTTATATACTTTTTATAAAATAATTTGCATTATATAATTTGCAGTAAGCAAATTGAGAGCTTAGTTGTGAAAACAGGTAATAAGAATGAAATCAGAAAATGTGAATATACAGGTAATAAGAATGAAATCAGAAAATGTGGATACATGAATACATTTGACACATTAAGCGAGGAAACAGTATATCGAGAATATATAACGTGTTTAAAGAAACATCAGCTCGCTATAAAGTAAGCAATTTTGACATTTTCAATTATGTTACTTCTCCATTTTCTTTATATATCCAATGCATAAAATTATATGTCTAATATATCTTGGTAATAATATTAGTATCTACATTTAGAAGCTAAATTAATAACATTTCTATCCTATAGGTTTGTTGGTATATTAGAATCATCGTATCAAGAGCTTTCATTATTTACATTAATATTATTTATTGGAATTTTAAGTTTAACTGGAATTCGAGTAAGTATTAGTAAATATTTAAATAAAATTTTTCATATAAATGATTTTTAAAGAATAAAATATAAATAAAAGATATTAAGATAATAAATTGTATAATACACAATTAGATTTTTATATTCTTTATTTTTCTAAAATTAATTTGTTTATTCTTGACTTCGGTTTACAATTTATAATTTAATGCGTTTTCTCCGTTAGACTCTCTCCACCAAACTCTCTCTTTCTCCTCTCCTCTCTAGTTTCGTTTTGATTCTAAATAAATATACTTCATTTGCTAATAACAGTTAATTAATAATCCTAGATAAAAATCTTACTATTTTTAATTTTATAGTAAAATAATGTTTTGTGTCAAGATAATTACATATTTGTAATATGTTTAGATTGTTTATGTGTTAGATCAATTGGGTGAAGTAGCAAGATTCACGTTCATAATTGTCGGAGCATTTTTCACTCTGCTGATCGTGTGTTATTCTGGTCAGAAATTAATGGATGAAAGCCAGAATGTATTTTATCAAGTGTAATAATAATTATTTTATACTTTTTAACATATATATATATAATATACATACATACATATATATAGATGCGTATAAAATTTTTATCAGAGAATTTGACATAAATTAGATATAAAAAATATAAAACTCAATATAAAACTTAATTGAATTTATATAATTGCTTAAATATTCTCATTAAATCGTAATTTAAAAAACATAAATAATATAAAAATCATTTCTAACATAGAATTTACTTTCTATTTTTTGAAAAAATTAATTTGTAAAAATTTATTCATATCTGTCTTACTACATGTAACTGTAATAACTGATTCAATTTTATTAGTTTAAATATAAAAAGAACTTTTTGAAAATCCAACTAAAATTAATTATGGAACTTTTGTTTATAGATATACAACAAAATGGTATGACTTCTCGCCTAGATTAAAATCTCTACTGATTATAATTCTTTACAGAAGCAATATACCGTGCGGATTAAAGGCAGGTAATCTAATTTCATTATCGATAGCGACTTATGCGGCAGTAAGTATAGCAAAATTATAAATTTATTTGCAGTATATTTATTTCTTAGTTTACAAACTTTCTATATGCAAAACAATTTACGCATCCCTATATTCGATTTAAGGTAATAAAGATGGGTGTATCTTACTTCACAGCGTTTTTATCACTCAAAGATTGACTATCGAAATTTCAGTTAATTCACCAATATGTTTTTATTTAATCTTACTATCAATAAATTATAATGAAAAAAAATTTGTAGCTTATTTATTCCATAATTTATTATATAATGCAATGTAGTAGAATTGTATCTAATAAAACAACTAACAATTACTCTTTTACTGCATTCTTTTTTACGATAAAATAAATATTTCGAAGATATTTGACTTACTAAGCTGAGATATTTTATATTGAAAATTACCTTATTGTAAACTGAGACATAATCTTTACACTTTTTTCTACAATTTTTATCCCTTCGTTATGCAATTCTGTTTACTTCGAATCAGTGACTATACGTTTACACGTACGGCTTCTAACTTCGATTTAATAACGCTGATGTTATAACTCCTATTTAAAGTAAGTTGTATTTATACTTTCAAGCTTATCCTATTTCCACCAAGCTAAAATAACTTAATAACTTTCGAGTGAAGTGAGTCCAGGAAATGATATTAAATTTGCAAACAAGAGAGAGAGTTAAGATGTTTAATTTTAACGATTGGCATTATTGCCATCGTTACACTGCGGCCGTTTACATGTCCTTTTTACGTCGATGTAATAACGCTAAGCCTTTTCGCTAAATGATTTTGAGTTACTACAAAGATGTAATAACTTCATCGTAAAAGAGCATTTACACGGCATCTAACGTCAGTAGTTATAACATCAATGTTAGCAATTCGGCGTAAATCAAGTCGTGTAAATCAGTCGCGTAATCACAATCTAATGTCTATGCACTCTCATTATACAAGAAATGTTACCAATATATCTAATCAATTATCAATAACCGATTATATACCAATAACATTTATCAATTGCACAAATTCTAATAGTTCTATAAAATATCACTTAAAATATTTTAAAAATTCTCTATATATAATTATAAACATTGCAAACTCTAATATATTTTTTGTGTATTAACGATGCGTAGATGAAAAAAATATAAAACGTAGAATTGAATTAATTTAAACTGACCGGAATTCTTTTCCCTTTATAGTCTTTTTTTTTCTTTGAAAGTGAAGGAATTTCATCCTTCAAATTTTGATTACATATTTATTTAAATTTATCTGATTTATAATATGCTAATAATAAATAATTTATTTATAATAAATAATGAATGATAAATATTTATATATTATTGCGTCTGCGAAACGATATATGTATCAATATGTTCGATATATCGAATGCGCGCGACACAACCAATCGACACACGGATGAAATATATTTGACTCTAAGTATTAAAATAACAATTATTGTCTGTAAAGATCGCAACGATTAAAAAGAAACTCTCTATTCATCTATAATAACGAATAAAAAATTAATGGAAATAAGAGAGACATTTTCCGAAAATGCGTTTACTGCTTTTCTAGATACTTAAAGCGTTAGTCTTAAAGTTGAAAATAATATCCTATTCAATGCAGAGTCCCCGATATTAAGAGTGAAATGTTCCGTATCGAATATGGCCGGGAATATCCAAGTGTCGTAGCCTGTGAAATTTGCTCAAAGGGGCATGTCCGGTATCAGGGCGCGCGAGACAGCTCGCAAAACCGAAAAAGAGTTCGAAAGAGTCGGTAAGGAGCCGTTATCGGAAGATTTACGCTTCGATGTGCCATTCAAAGAGGAGTTCTTACGCGAGGGTGACATATCCTAGGAAGAGGAAGAGAATATTCCGGTCGTGTCCAGGATAAAAATTAGTATGCGCGATATATCGAGGCGCAAGGTGCCTTACAGATATCCTACCTTCGATTCAGAGGAGCTTGAAAGGTTCTTTGATGTGGAACGGTATTCATCGAGTCCCCCACGTGGACCATCACCAGGTCGCGAGCATTTGCCACCTGATCTTTGGGAACAGGAGGATGGGCCACATGCGGAGTTTGTCCACAACAAGATGTATCTGATCTCATCCGTTTCGAGAGTCCTTAATTCAGGACGTATCTTCATCTGCAGACATGTTTTCGTCTCCTAGATTCTGAGCTGTTTGAGAGAAGAAAATGGTACGCTCGAATTCTTAAATAGATGAGAAGAGATTTTTTTCTCTTGCGAATATATTATATTTTTATTGGAACAATTTTTTGCAGAAACACAAAAGAGGAGAATCTTGAGGAAAAGACAATTGAGTACCAAAACGTTTGCAAAAACGCAAGAAATTTTTCATCACCCTTCAATTCCTTTTTTAATATGATATTTTCCCACATCATATGTGATATTTTATTATTAAAATCAGTACCTGTATATATATTCAAGTAATCTGTATAATATTAATTATAAATAGTATAACTGATTGTGAGCATATATTCCGCCAAAGTTAATTTTTTCTAAGTAAATTTTACTTCTTTAATCCGTTATTTCCTACATTCAAAAATATATTCGAACACCAGAAATGTTTCAAATTGACTGAAAAATATTCTGCAAATAGAAGAGAGATAATCATCGTAAAGCCAGAAAATTAATGCGTGTTTTTAGCGTTATTATTTTTGCCCTCAAGTTTCTGCCGATTTTACACTATACTTATTGTAACCCACTATTCCACAATAAGATGCAACAATATTATTCAACAATATTACAATATTAATTATTTCATAGATGGGAAAAGTGATGGTTCAATTTTGAAAAGTAGATATACATAGATGTTATAGATGTTATTATACGATCTTCGGAACAATTTTTGAAGGCTGTTATTAAATAGCTGTGTCGATCATTTTTCTTGAATGTTAAATGATACACTCTATCTCATCTCATCAAATGATATATCGACGCTGACGATGTTTGACATCCTATAATTTCTTTCTTGCGTAGCGACAATATACAAAGAACCGGATAATATATGCGCGACACGTGTCATGCGGCGGTCTTTCGATCGAGAAATAAGTTCCATCATGCTAGCAAACTTTTTACGAGAATATAATATCAACCGATTATTCTTGTCAATTACAGGTCTTTGGCCATTCCAAAATAAGCTCGCGAGAAATTCATTGCAGACTTTCTGCTTTCTAGTCGAAATAAGTTACTGTCCGTTCGAGGTAATGCGATCGACAACTTTTTAATCTGAGATTTTTTAAATGTTTATTTTAAAAATTCTTATCAAGCTAAAATATTGTCTATTATTATACATTATGTAGTGCGTATTTTTATCATGAAATATTTTCACAATATATTTTTGTTATAAAATATTATCAAAATATATTTTGATACGTGTGATTTTTAATTGATCGAATAAAATGATGATAATTTTTTATATGTAATTGGTCACGTACGAATTTTAGGTATTGTATATTTTAATATATTTTATTGAATATTTTATATATTTTATGGATATATAATATTATATACATATAGATATTATTAATATACGATCATTGGGACGATATGCAAACAATTTTTGAAGGCTGTTATCAAATGGCCGTCTCGGGCACTTTCCTTGCGAGAATGACAAATGAGTTCTTTAACCATGACAAGGTATGACGTTATTAGAATTACAAAGTGTCACTATCTTTTAATTTTTTAAAAATGTTTTTTCATGTTTAATTAAATCGATTTTGCATTGTCGCGATCAGTTGCGACGATTATATGAGATCATCGATGAGCATTGGGACATTTTTACGAGTGATATAGAAGTTCAAGTTTTGAAAGACTATTCTACGTTAGCGCGAAAATTTACGAAATACTATTCGAGTGAGTATAAAGCAATATGTGATAATATTGTTAGAGTAATGTATTACCTGCTGATAGAAAATGTATGATGTAATATCAAAAAGTTCATGATTTTAGTAAAATAAAATTAAGTTGTCAAGGTATTTTCTAAAAATTTGCATACTGTATGAAATTAATAATATTTAATAAAATCATGTATCTCGTTCTAATCTAGTTAAAAAACCGATAATAGTTTCTCTTGTAAATTGGTATTATTGAATAAGCAACTTATTTTTCTTCTGATATTACAGTAACGATGTATTTTATGACATCGGGATTTGTAATAATACCATTAACACCGGTGTTTTTGGATATTGTGCTGCCTCTTAACAAGTCACGTCCGCGATTTCTTGCCATTGAAGTTGAATTTAGAATAAATAAAGATGAGTATTTTCTACCAATTTTCTGTTACACTACCGCTGTAATTATAGTGGGCATGAATATTATAGTGAGTGTAGACGCGATGCATATCACGTGCACCTCTCATGCATGCAGTTTATTTGCAGCTGTTAGGTAGGTACTGCAAATAAAATTTTATATTTATATATTTTTTATAAAATAATTTGCATTATATAATTTGCAGTAAGCAAATTGAGAGCTTAGTTGTGAAAACAGATAATAAGAATGAAATCAGAAAATGTGGATATTACATGAATACATTTGACACATCAAGCGAGGAAACAGTATATCGAGAATATATAACGTGTTTAAAGAAACATCAGCTTGCTATAAAGTAAGCAATTTTGACATTTTCAATTATGTTACTTCTCAATTTTCTTTATGTATAAAATCTTATGTATCGAATGCATAAAATTATATATCTAATATGTCTCGGTAATAATATTAGTATCTACATTTAGAAACTAAATTAATAACATTTCTATCCTATAGGTTTGTTAGTATATTAGAGTCATCGTGTCGAGAGCTTTCATTAGTTACATTAATATTATTTATTGGAATTTTAAGTTTAACTGGAATTCGAGTAAGTATTAGTAAATATTTAAATAAAATTTTTCATATAAATGATCTTTAAAGAATAAAATATAAATAAAAGATATTAAGATAATAAATTGTATAATACACAATTAGATTTTTATATTCTTTATTTTTCTAAAATTAATTTGTTTATTCTTGACTTCGGTTTACAATTTATAATTTAATACGTTTTCTCTGTTAGACTCTCCCCACCAAACTCTCTCTTTCTCTTCTCCTCTCTAGTTTCGTTTTGATTCTAAATAAATATACATCATCAATGCTAATAACAGTTAATTAATATTAATATTCCTAGATAAAAATCTTACTATTTT